GCATATATGGTCAAAGGCGTGACAATACAATTGAATGGTGGTGGGAAAACTGGTTATTCACATGCAAAAGATTGAACTTGGACCCTTCCCTAATATATACAAACATTAACTCAAACTGGATCAAAGGTTTAAATGTAAGACTAAAACAATAAAATTCTTGAATTAAAACACAGGACAAAAACTTTGTAATGTTGGATTTGACAACAATTTCTTGGATGTGAGACCAAAGGCACAGGTAACAAAAGAAAAAAAAATGAACAACCCAGCTGGTGTGGCTAGGTGGTTGAGTGTTGACCCATGAGCCAAGAGGTCCTCGTTCAGTTCTGAGTCAGGGCATATGCCAGGGTTGCAGGCTCAATCCCCAGAAGGGGGCTTGCTGGTGGTAGCTGATCAATGTTACCCTCTCTCTCAAAAATCAATAAAAATATTTTTTAAAAGAAAAAGAAAAAAATAGGGCTTCAAGAAAAAAAATTATACATCAAAAGACAATATAAACAGAATAAAAAAGGCAACCCACAGAAAGGAAGAAATGTTTGCTAACCACATATCTGTTAAGAGATTAATACTGAAAATTACATGTAGAGAACTCCAAAACTCAACAACAAAAAATAACCAACCTGACTCAAAAATAGGCAAAGGATTTGAACAGACATTTCTCCAAAGATATAAGAGTGGCTGATAAGGCCGAAACCGGTTTGGCTCAGTGGATAGAGCGTCGGCTTGCGGACTGAAAGGTCCCAGGTTCGATTCCGGTCAAGGGCATGTACCTGGGTTGCGGGCACATCCCCAGTAGGAGATGTGCAGGTGGCAGCTGATCGATGTTTCTCTCTCACCGATGTTTCTAACTCTCTATCTCTCTCCCTTCCTCTCTGTAAAAAATCAATAAAATATATTTAAAAAAAAAAAAAAAAAAAGAGTGGCTGATAAGCTCATGAAAAAATGCTCAACATCAATAATCATTAAAGAAATAAAAAAAACCTACAGTAAGCTACAACCCCACGCCCATTATCCTATCTAATAATTGACATCCTATCTAATAATAGACAAACATGGTAATTACCGTACCTTCGCTACGCCTCCTATTGGCTAATCAGCGTGATATGCAAATTAACCGCCAACAAAGATGGCGGCTAATTTGCATACTGCAGACAGGGCAGAACAGCGTGAGCCGCCAGCACGCCAGCACACCACCATCCAGGGCAGGCCCACCCCCGCCTTGCCCCAGAAGCCCCCAGGAGCTGGCCCCGCCTTGCCGCCCTTGGACCCGATCAGCAGGAAGCCGCCTGATATGGTAGTAACTCTATCAGTAAGCACTCTGAAAATCAGTGCCATAAATGCACCAATTAAAAGACAGAGTATGAGGGTGAATCAAAAACAAAACCCACTTTAAATATAAAGACAAATATAGATTAAAAGTACATGAATTAAGCTGCAGCCTGTTTTGCTCAGTGGATAGAGCATTAGCCTGAGGACTGAAGGATCCCAGGTCCGATTCCAGTCAAGGGCATGTACCTCAGTTGCTGGCTGGATCCCCAGTCCCTATCAAAGCTTGTGCAGGAGGCAACCAATCAATGTGTCTCTCCCTTTCCCTTCACTCTCTCTAAAATTCAATGGAAAAATATCCTTGGGTAAAGATTAACAAAAACAAAGTAAATGGATTAAGTAACATTAAAGAGATTATAAGAAAAATATATTCCAAATTTTGTTAGTTGTATAATGGTTATGTTTAAATTACTAACACCTAAGAAATTGGGTGAAGGGTACACATAATATGCTGTAGTATTTTATAGTTTTTTTTACATGTATGAGATTATTTCAAATTAAAATATTAAAAAATTAAAAATTAATATTAATTGAAATGTATCTGCATTACATGAAAAATCTCCTAATTGCTTCTAGCATAATTTATTAAATTGTGCTAAAATTTACAAGGGTTCAATTAAAAAATGTCTTAATTCTAGAAAATATATAATAGTGCAGTTATAAGCACTTATCTGAAAATAAAAATTTAAAGAAGTGAATTTAAAGAAGGGATTAGCCAAAGAAAATACATGTACAACCCATGGACACAGACAACAGTATGGTGATGGCTAGAGAGAAGTGGGGGGCAAGAGCTGGGTAGAGGGGACAAAAGGGGGGAAATAGGGACATCCTATATAATAATAATAAAAGGCTAATATGCACATTGACTGAACAGCAGAATGACCGGTTGCTATGATGCGCACTGGCCACCAGAGGGCAGATGCTCAATGCAGGAGCTGCCCCCAGGTGGTCAGTGCACTTCCATATGGGGAGTGCCACTCCTCCAGAAGCTGGCTCATGGCTGGCCAGCGCAGTGGTGGTGGCAGGAGCCTTTCCCACCTCCGTGGCAGCACTAAGAACGTCCAACTAACGGTTTAGACCCGATCCCTTGGGGGCCTAAGCCTTTAGTCAGACATCCCCCGAGGGCTCCCTGGCTGCCAGAAGGATGTCTGACTGCAAGCTTAGGCCTGATCCCCCGGGGAGTGGGCCTAAGTGGACAAGTGGTCATCCCCCAAGGGGTCCTGGACTGTGAATGGGTACAGGCCAGGCTGAGGGGACCACCCCCACCCCCGAGTGCACAAATTTTTGTGCACCGGGCCTCTAGTAACTGCTATAAAAAAAACACACACACAACAGAAAACAAGTGTTGGGTAGATTGTGGAAAATCTGTAACCTTTGTGGACTGCTCATGAGACTGTAACATGGGTACACCACCTTGGAAAACAGTATGGGGGGGAAGGGTTCCTCGAAAAGTTCAAAATATAATTACCATATGCAATTCCACTTCTTGGTGTATAACAAAAAGAATTAAAAGCAGGGTCTCAGAGATATTTGTACCCCATATTCATTCCAACATTATTCACAGTAACAACAACATGAGAGCAACCCAAGAATTCATTGACAGATGAATGGATAAGCAAAATGTACATACATACAATGGATTATTCAATTTGAAAAGGGGAGGAACTTCTGCAATATGCTACAACATGGATGACCCTTGAGGATATTAATCTAAGTATAATAAGCCATATGATACCATTATATGAGGTACATAGAGAAGTCAAATTCAGAGAAAGGAGAAACGTGAGAACGCTCCTGGCTGGCTGTCAATGTCACCCTCTCTGCCCTGTAACAATCGCATCTAACCCCTTCCTCTCCCAGGTTGGCCCCGCAGGCCCCTGGAGCTTCTGTTCAGTAGTTTGGAATTTTGCTAATGTTGTCACTGACATCAGAATTTGGCAAACATATTGCTTTATAGTCATGAAGTAGGCAGACTACCATACAAGTTTTCATGCTGGAGTCTATAGTTTTTAATGAGTATTAATTTTTGGAATATAATAAATTGGCTTGTGTACTTTATAACTGGAATGAAAACAAAAAACACATACACCGAGAATTTGGGTACACAGGTCCCAATCTTCCTTCTCCACCATAGAGAAAAGAACGCTCACATGAAACCCCACAGCCTGGACTCTTCTGGCTTCCCCGACTTGCCCGCTGAGGAGGCCCGGGGCTGGGCCACGATGACACCCTGCGGGCGGCAGAAAACTGATTTCCCTCCACAGACGGCCTGGCGCTTCCCAAACTCGCAAGTGCGCATGGGATCGGGCGGGGTCTTGCTGAAGCGCAGATTCCGACACAGCGGGGGGGGGCCGACCTCTGCATTTCGGCCGGACAGAGGAACGCTCCCTTCCCACCGCGGCGCCCCGGGCCCGCCTGCACGCGGGGCGGGACACACCGCTGCCCTCCCTCCGCTTCATGACCGACCGCGAGCAAACTCAGGGTCAGCTCCTCCGTTTCCTTGTCCTCAGCTCAGGAGAACCTCATTCTCTCTGCACCTGTGTCAAATGGTCTCGACTGAAAAAATGAAGATAGTTTCTGCTTCCGAGCAGCTTACAAGTTTGAAACGCTAGGTACACGCTATTGCCCTTTCTCCCCTCCACGCTGGGCAAAGGGCCCGGGTTCCCGTTAGCCTCCGGGGCTCCAATCCAGATCTGACCCTTCCGCTCTTCTCTGAGGCCTGCGGCGAGCCACTCAACTTCCCGAGCCTCAGGGTCCCCAACTTCAAGATGGGCTTACACACCGCACCTACTTCTCCAAGGGGCCGCGGGCACGAAGAGGTGCCGCCCGTGAAGAAGGGTCCGGCACGCAGTCAGTCATCCACAGACGACGCCCCTGACGAGGAAGAGCTACAGGAACCGCGGCAGTCGGCGCTCCCCGCGCGGCTGCCGGTCCGCGGCGCCAGTTCCCCGCTCCTTCCCGGCCGCGCGCCCACTCCTCCTCTCGGAGCGGCTCTGACGGCGCCATCTGCGTCCCGCCCACGGTCGGTGCTTCGGGGCGTCCGGGGGAGGTGCGCACACCCGAGAGGAGACACTCCCGCCCGCCCCACGGGACCTGAGGAGGGCCACATACTGGATTCGGGCGGTGTCTTCGCCGGGCGCCGGCAGCTCCTCCAACGCCCGCTTCAGGGCCGCGACCTCGGCTTCCAAGACGCGGACCTCGGCCTGCTCCGAGTCCATAGCGCAGCGCTCGCGGGAAGCAGCCAGACGGACCAGCGCCTCGCCCGGCGATTCAAGCCTCGCGCGCTCCTGGCGCGGACCATCCGGGCCCCCCGCAGGGGGGGGCGAGGGCGTGTGCGCGACGCCTGCGGGCCCCCCGCGCTGGCACGCAGCCTCGGGCGCTCTGTCTCCCGGGCACGCTGCACCCGCTGCTCCCCAACGGTCCCCACGCTTGGAGAGAGTTGGTTCGCTCCAGCCCGAAGCCCCAGGACCGAGCTGTCCCACCCGCGCCGGCGGAGTTTGGAACAACCAGATGCGTGCGTCACTGAAGAGTAGCTTCCGGACCGTGTGAAGGGGAGCGTCTCGTTATTTTCCTCCCGCTCTCACTTCCGCCGATAGCTGGTCCAGGCGTGGATAAACGTGGGGCGATAACCCTCCTAAGTAAGAATCATAGAATTACGATTCGAAAGTTTTGAGGACGTTGAGGGACGGGTGGCGGGGGCATCGCGGTATTCCAGACGACGGGGAACGAAATGCAGAGCACGGGAACTGAGTGGTCACGGAACCTTAGGAGGCGGGGTGGGAGTCGAGTAGGAAGGAATAGCGACTCTGCCTAGTGGAACACGCGACTAGGAGTTAGGGCCCTACGCGGCGCTGGCTGTGGAGACAACGCGGTAAGGAGTGGGTCTGGGCCATTTGGCCTCCACTGTCCCTGCTCTTGGGTCTTGGTTCTTCAGCGGCAAAAAACCTGGGTGCGCAGGTTGGGGGCAGGGAGTCTACCGGGAAGACGTAGGTCGTGCCTCACGCCCAGAGCACGCGCCCTAAGTCGGGGTCCGACGCTGCTTTGGGGTCTAAAGTGGGAGGGGTGTCAGCTCTTAGGAAAAGGCGAGTGTGGCCCCTGGGTGCTACCGGGATTAGAGATCCCACAGGGCCTCGGCCGAGTACCTCCTAGAGTTCTCCCGAGCCCCTTCAAATACAACAACTTTCCTAGTTTAATTATGCATTACAGGCTCTGAAATTAGACCTGGTTTATAATTCTGGCTTCATTAATTCTCTGAATGACGTTGGAAAAGTGACTTCATCCCTCCTGCTCATCTGAAAGATGAGATGCACGCAAACTATACCATACAAAGCTGACACGTTTTAAAAAAGCAGAACAAGCCTGCATTAGCTTTGGCATCAGTTGCTCTCTTCGCCTGAACAGCACGTCACCTCTGGGGACAGGAGCTGTCTCTTACCCTTTAGCATGCCGACCGGCCACCCCGTTTCTGTGGGCATTGCTTCAAGTGAACAGAGGAATGTATAAATGAAGGAAAGCAGGATGCCTGGCGCGTGGATAGGTGACTGGGAGGGCGGAGTGCACGGGGCGCCTTTGTGGGGCAGCGTTCCCGGTTCCGGTGTCTGTGCAGAGGTGCTGTTCCAGGGGGTTCGTGGAGAAGAGGATGTAGGTTTGACCAGAATCTCCAGGGATAACATTTAGAAACAATATAAGAGTGAAAGTTTAGGCAACCAATTTGGCATCAAAGGTACCAGGTGAGTTGGGGTTGTTTTGGTTGGTTGTGTAGGTTGGAGAAGAACTGGCTGAAAGAACTCATGATTTTCCTCCTAGAACACTGAGGGCGCCGGCCTTGATGAAGGCCAGCCGAGAGGCCACGCGCCTCTTTGTGGGTGGCCTTGGCCAGAGCGTTTCTGCGGCGGACCTGCAGAGCCAGTTCAGCAGATTCGGAGACGTGTCTGATGTGGAGATCATCACTCGGAAAGATGACCAAGGCAAGTTTATAGTCTTTCGTGGGTAAAGGCAGTTCTACCGCAAGTCAGCTGTCACAAAATAAGGGAACCGCAGAGATGAGTGTTAGCCCCTGTGTGTCATTGTGTACCCCACGCCATGCCCTGGAGGTGTCATTCATGATGTGGAACTTGCCCAGAATTACATTCCTGAAATCAAAAATGTTCTATATTCTAAAACACCCGGCTTCTGAAACATGCCACTTTCAGTTTTCAGAGCTAAAATGTTAATACTCATTAAGTATCCTATTAAGTAGAATGTCACTAACAAAATCATATAACAACATAACATAATCAACTGACCATTTGGCATTTTTTGTTTTATTTTTTAATATTTTAATAATCATATTTGGAAAATTTCTATCTTTGAGTCCAGTGAAAAATAACAAGTTTTTTCTTTGAAAGAGTTTGTTTCCAAGAGCTCATTTTTTAAAATTTATAAATGTAATCATTTTATATTGTTTCCTGGATAAGAATTTATATAAATGTATTTTTCTATTTTTTTAGGAAACCCACAGAAAGTCTTTGCATATATCAACATCAGAGTAGCTGAATCAGACCTGAAAAAATGTAAGATATTCCATATGACTTGCAGTTTATGTCTGTGTAGCTTGGAATAACTTCGTTCTACATCTTAACAGCCAATTTTTAAGTCATCCAGAGGGACAACTATGATCAAGAGAATTCCAGTATCCTGTAACTTAGCAGGTTTAGTTTCATACCATTTGGCGTCAGCAGACATGTGGTAGCACATTGCTAATGGTATTGCTCAACAATGGTATTCTAAAATATTTTGGACAAGAAACAAAGCTTTCATAGAAATTGCTTGTTACACATATCCCACTATGCCAGTGATGGGAACCTTTTGAGCTCGACATGTCAGCATTTTGAAAAACCCTAACTTAACTCTGGTGCCATGTCACATATAGAAATTTCTTGATATTTGCAACCATAGTAAAACAAAGATTTATATGTTTGATATTTATTTTATATATTTACATGCCATTTAACAAAGAAAAATCAACCAAAAAAATAAGTTCGCGTGTCACCTCTGACACGCGTGTCATAGGTTCGCCATCACTGCACTATGCCATACCCTTCCCCCTTTCCTTGTGAGTTCATTTTTTAGGGAGGTTATTTTCTTGAAATTAAATGCTGTTAGGAGAGGGCTGGCTTTAGTGTATGCCTTGTAAGACTATTCTTGAAATTATAGAATCTCTATCAAGAAGTTTAGTATATATTTAAAAAAGCAACAACTCCCAGCTAGTGTGGCTCAGTGGTTGAGCATCAACCAAGGAACCAAGCAGTCACAGGTTCGTTTCCTGGTCAGGGCACATGCCCGGGTTGTGGGGGGCATACAGGAGGCAGGTGATAGATTATGTTTCTCACTGATGTTTCCATCTCTTTATCCCTCTCCCTTCCTCTCTCTAAAAAGCTAATTAAAATATATATATAGAGAGAGAGAGAGAGAGAGAGAGAGTGAGGTTTAGTAAAACTGTGGTCTTCACTGAAGAAGAAAGGGGAGATAATCCATATTGCCACTGATGTGGTAATGAATTCTAGTAATTTGGAAGCTGAAAAGTCAAGGGGTACTTATTGTTCATAGGGAAAGAGGACTATCACTCGACAAGTTGTGGTTGAGAACACAGCAGCTCTGATATGTAACCTGTGGCATGTTATTTAAACTTCTAAGCTCCAGTTTGCTTATCCAATGTATAGCAAAGATATTGTTTGCCTCATAATTTACTGCAAAGATTAACCCTTTTCGGTCCAATGTCGAGGCTGACTCGACAGACCAGGAGCTAGGAGCAGGTCCAACATCGAGGCTGAGGTCGACGCCGCAAACCGGTTCAACATTCAATCCCGTCAATTAATTTGGACCAGACTGTTTGATTTCCAAAAATAAAGTTAGGCCGCAAAGGGTTAAATTGAATAGAACCTTTCTATTTAGAATATCTACCAATGCAATCTTCCCTCTGTTAGTGGTTATTATTAAGGAATCTGATAGCAGATATTGAGAAAAAGCAACTATTAGGGCATAGCATAGTTCAGTCACTTGCATCTAATTTGTTTGGAAGTTACACAGAGGTAACTAGCATGAGATGAAAAGTGAAAATGAGGAGCTGCATAATTCCAGTGTCCTGGTTCACCTTTGGAAAATTACATTGACATTTTATAGTTTTAGTGGGAAGTAAAGAAATGTTACTCATTCACCAGAGATTTTTGGCATTACTTTGTAAACAAATAGCAAACAAGTTTTGCTTTATAGTTTACACATTTGCCTCATTCGTATCTTCCAGTCACACTGGGAGGTAGGGAATGTAAGGGCTGCACTGGTAAGTGGTCCAGGGGAGACCAGGATCTAAGCCCTTTCACTCCAGGTCTAAAATTCCTTGTTCTCTTAGGGCTCTCCAGGCAGCTCAGGGGACACCTGGTCTTCAGGTGCGTTTGGCGGCTCAGGATCGTAGCCTGGTGGAGCCCCGCACCAGGGCTGTGCACATGCGTGCTGAGCGGTGACTGAGCTCAGAAGCCCAGCGTGACTTCCCATCGAGGGCTTCGTAGGGAGACTGTGGCTCTTAAGAAAGTATTGGGGAACCTGGAAAGTTGATAAGCCTTCATGGCATTGGATGGTAAAGACCAATTTTGTGGTCAGTTTTCAGTTACTCTTCCAAAAAGTTGATTAGCTGGGGTTGATTGCTCATAGTGTATAAAGGTAAACAGATGGTACCCTCGGAAGTGTCAGCCTTAAAATATGCTCTTGTGAATTTATTTTTGTTTAAGGCATTAACTTTTATTTGCGTGATTTTAAAATATTACCAGGAATCAGATTCCGAATTTCAGAAACAACTTGTCTTAATAAAGAATTAAAAGTAGGCTGGGGCCTGGCAGCATGGCTCAAAAAAATAAAATAAAATTCCTTGTTCTGTTTTCTCTGTATCTCTTCGTGATTAACACATCTACTTTTCTTGGTATTAAATAATTAGAAAAGGCACATTCTGAAATGTATTTTTGCATTGTGATGTAATTGGGTAATAATTCTTTACTCTATAGGTATGTCTGTTTTAAATAACACAAAATGGAAAGGTGGAACACTACAAATTCAATTAGCAAAAGAAAGTTTTTTGCACAGGTAAGATTTGTTCTATGTGAATTTAAACAGTATTCTTTATTTTGTAAATGGTTCTGTATATTCACTTAATTGATTTGAAACTATTGAGTAATTATTTTTATTACTAGAGGCCCGGTACACAGATTTGTGCACTGGTGGGGTCCTTCGGCCTGGCCTGCAGGGATCAGGCCAAAACTGGCTGTCAGACATCCCCCGAGGGGTCCCAGATTGCGAGAGGGCGGTTCTTGGGTGATGCACCCCAGAATCGGGCTCCCTCCTCTCTGGTTCCAGGTGCATAACCCAAGAACCACAGCTGCCAAGTCACCACAGCTCGGCAGCTCCTGCATTGAGCATCCTGGTGGTCATTGCACATGACAGCTACCATCAGTCAGCCATTCGCTTAGGCTTTTATTTCTATAGACTAGAGGCCCGATTCAAGAAAGTCATGCAAGGATCTCAGCCCTCGCAGCCCCAGCTTCACCCAGAAGGTCATCCCGTTGTTCCGCTGTTCAGCCTTTTGGTCAATGTGCATATTACACTATTATTATTAAGGATGGTATTAGCAAATTCACTCAACTGTTTCTCCTCACAACCCCAACTCCACCAGTAAAGATAATGCAATGCATTTACATGTGCATATTTTAAGCTATAAAAATATATGCCTACGTTATCTTTTTAATACAACCTTCTGCGGTGATGTAGATCTTCCCAATTTTCTGTAACTTCTGTTTAGTACTATTTCAGCAAATAGCTTACGCACAGTGGAATTGGCTATACCTCACTGATGGACATTCAGACCCTGCATGGATGGCTCCTGCATAATGCAAGGCTTCGACTGGGGCTTGTGTTGCTGGAGTTATATATGTTTAAAATTTGAATAGACATGACTAAGTTGCCTATGTTATTTTTGACTATTAATGCTAGTGTCATACAAAGATAAAGATAATGGGAAATTCCTGTGTGAGAGGCATAAGATTAATTTGGTAAGTGATTAAGTACAAGGCATTGTAACAGCTATTTGAGTATTTTATGATTCTGAAGGTATTCTCAGGGAGGAAAGATTGTGTAAGTTTGGGAACTTTCAAAAGAGAAAACATTTTAGGAATGTACAGATAGAGCAACCAGTGTTATTGATAAGCTTGTTCTTGATCAGGGAAAAATAGGTCTAAGGCAGGTGGCAAGCAGGAGGCATGTTTTAAGGGAGTGGTCTGATGAGACAGGTGAGAATTTGATTTTGTTCTTCAGTTGGGAACAGGGTAGTGGTGAGACTTATTCAACAGCACTGTAGTGCCTACTATGTGTAGGAACTGGTGCCCAGTCCCCAGCAGGGCGAGCACTCGGTGCCCGCTGCCTGAAGTGCCTGCAGATGTGCCTCAGGAACATAAATCTGACAGTTGCTCTGGAAGGTGGGACGTTAGGAAACAGGCCAGAGGCAGAGGGTCCAGCGATGAGTGGTTAGCACAGTAGTTCAGGCCTAAATAAGGTGGGGCGTTTGAATTGGCATTCTCTTCATTATGAGGATAGGAATAATCACGACTTGGCAGACTGGGCTCTGAAAGACCCATCTTCCTCATGAGAAAGATGGGATTGAGAAGGGACAAAATGCAAAAGTGCTTAAGTTGAAAGGGAAAATTGAGAGACTAAATGATCACTATAAAGTTAAACAGCATTATATTATTTTTAAAAAATAAAAACAGAAGCTCCATTAATAGCATGGTTGATTTACTTATATTTTCTCTCTTTGATTCAGATTGGCCCGAGAGAGAGAAGAAGCACAAGCAAAGAACGAAAAATCAGTACTAGGCAACACCAACTTGTTAGAAAAGATGGGAATGGTGGATTTCCATATGAAAGCTGTGCCAGGGACAGAAGTACCAGGGCACAAAGTGAGTCTTTTCTGGTAGCCTGACTAGCCCAAGAACCTAATCCTCGGACCACCTGACTGGGTATCATGTCTAAAGCAGTTGCTTTTTAACGTACTAGTAGATAGTACTTTGAACATAGTACTTTATGGTTTTCAAAGTGCTTATACAACTCTTGGGCAAGCACGTTTATCCTCCATTTTATAGAGACAAAAATCGAAACAAGTGGAGACAGTTCTCCACTATCCATATATGGTATTGTGTGCTCACCACCCGAAGTCTAATCTCCATCTATCACCATATATTTGACCCCCTTTACCCTCTTCATCCTCCCCCACTCTTCTTCCCCCCTGATAACCTATGAGTTTGTTTGTTGCTTTACTTTTATGCCCTGTATATGAATGAAATCACACAGTTCTTGATATATCCATGTTGTCCCAAATGGCAGTATTTCATTCATTCTTTTGGCTGAACAGTATTCCATTATATGTATATACAACATCTTTATCTAGTCATCCATCGAAGGATACTTAGATTATTTCCATGTCTTGGCAACCATGAATAATACTGCAGTGAACATATGGGTGCATACTTATTTATAAACAAGTTTTCCATTTTTTCCAGAAGGTACCCTGAAGAGAGATTGTAGGCTCATAAGATAGCTCTATTTGTAATGTGTTTTTTTTGTTTGTTTGTTTTTTGTTTTGTTTTTTAAATATATTTTATTGATATTTTACAGAGAGGAAGGGAGAGAGATAGAGAGTTAGAAACATCGATCAGCTGCCTCCTGCACATCTCCCACTGGGGATATGCCCGCAACCCAGGTACATGCCCTTGACCGGAATCGAACCTGGGACCCTTCAGTCCGCAGGCCGACGCTCTATCCACTGAGCCAAACCGGTTTCGGCTATTTGTAATGTTTTGAGGAACTGCGATACTGTTTTTTATAGTGGCTGTACCAGCTTATATTCCTACCAACAGTAAATGTAGGTTACTTTTTCTCCACAACTTCTCCAACGCTTGTTATTATTTGTTTGTTGATAATAGTCATTCTAACAGGTGTGGAGTTGTACTTCATTGTAGCTTTGATTTGTATTTCCCTAATAGCTGGTGAAGGTGAGCATCTTTTCATCTGTTGGCCATTTGTATGCCTTAAGAACAGTGCCTGTTTACATCCTCTGCCCATTTTTTAATTGGATTGTTTGTTTTTTGTTGAGTTGTATGAGTTCATTTATGTTTCAATATGAAAACATATTTATAAACAAGTTTTCCATTTTTCTATATATTGTTTGCAAATATTTTTCATCATTCTGTTGGTTGCCTTTTGTTGATGATTTTTTCTGCTGTTGCAGAAGTGTTTTAGTTTGATATAGTCCCATTCATTCCTTTCTGCTTTTCCCTTGCCTTTGGGGTCAAATTCTGAGACCAAGATCCATAAGTTTAGTATCTATGGTTTTTTTGTTTTTGAGGGTTTTTTTAATGTAATTTATTTTTTCAGGTCTTATATTTAGGTCTTTGATCCATTTTGAGGGAGTGTTTGTGTATGGGGACAAACAGCAATCTAGTTTCATTCATTTGCATATGACATTCCAGTTTTCCCAGCACCATTTATTCAAGAGACTTTCTTTTCTCCTTGTGTGTTTTTGGCTATTTTTTCAAAAACTATTTACCCATAAATATGTGGGTTAATTTCTGGGTTCTCAATTCTATTCCATTAGCTTGTGTGTCTGGGTTTTGCCAATACCATATTGTTTTGATTATTGCAGCTTCACAGTATAATTTGAAGTCCGTGAGAATGATACATCCAGCTTTGTTATTTTTTCTCAGAATTGCTTTGGCTATTCCCAGTTTTTTGTGGTTCCATAAATATTTGATGATTTTTATTTTTTGAGAGTATGTTTATGAAAGCTGGGAACAGTGAAACAAGGCAGAGTTTAGGATAGAAGAAGCAGCAGGAGAGAGCCTAGGTGGGGCAGCTGTGGCTTCCTAGAAATGTTATAAGAAAAATGAACCAGGGCAGGGCTGCCTTAGCTCACTGGGAAGTTGGAGAAGAGGGGGCCTTAGATACAAGTTCCAGAGGTTAGCTTTGGAAGACCTGCCACTGCCCATTGCTCCCCTGATGGCAAGTCTTGTGGAGTCCCTTGGAGTTTAAGAGATGCCTGTGGGGGAAGAAGAGACAGAAGGGAGAACACACCTTGATGATTTTTTTGTTCTATTTGAAAAATGCCTTTGGGATATTGATGGGGATTACATTAAATTTGTATAATGCTTTATAGGGCTAGTTCAAATATTTATTTGTGTCTTTAATTTCTTTCACCAGTGTTTTATAGTTTTCAGTGAATAGTTTCTTCATTCCTTTTGTTGAGTTTATTCCTAAGTGTTTTATTCTATCTTTTTGTAAATTCATATGGAATTGTTTTGTTTTTTCTCATATTTTTGTTTTTTGTTTTTCATTTATTTTAATGAATAGAGGCCCAGTGCACAAAATTCGTGCCTGGGGGGGCAGGGGGGCCCTCAGCCTGGCCTACACCCTCTCCAATCCGGGACCCCTCAGGGGATGTCAGACATTCCTCTTACAGTCCAGGACTGCTGGCTCCTAACTGCTCGCCTGCTTGCCTGCCAGCCTGATCGCCCCCAACTGCCCTCCCCTGCAGGCCTGGTCGGCCCCTGCCGGCCATCTTGTGACGGCCATCTTATGACGACATCGTGAGGGCATGACGCCACCTAGGCTTTTATTATATAGTATGTTTCATTGTTAGTATATAGGAACAGAGTGGATTTTCATATCCTGCAACTTTACTGTATTAATAACAGTTTTTAATAGTCTTTTGGTGGAGTTTTTAGAGTTATCTATATATGTAATATTGACAAAGCGATCCAATTGCTCTGGCTTGGATTCTCAGTCGTATGTTGAATAAGAGAGTGGTCACCTTGTCTTATTCTTTTTTTTGTTTGTTTTTTTAATTGATTTCAGAGAGGAAAAGGAGAGGGAGAGAGAGATAATCACTGGTTACCTGCCTCCTGCACATCCCCCTGCTGGGGATTGAGCCTGCAACCTGGGCATGTGCCCTTGACTGGAATCAAACCTGGGACCCTTCAGTCTGCAGGCCAACGCTCTGTCCACTGAGCCGAATCGGCTAGGGCTTATTCTTGATCGTACATGAAAAGCTTTCAGTTTTTCACTCTTCAGTATGATATTAGCTGAGGGTTTTGGCCTTTATTGAGTTACTTTCCTTCTATAGTGTATTACTCATAGATGGATGTTGTATCTTGTCAAATGCTTTTTTTGCATCTATTGGTATGATCATATGATTTTTTTATCCTTCATTTTGTTAAGGTGGTGAGTACATTGATCTATTTGTGTATGTTGAACCATCCTTGTGCCCCTGCAATGAATCCCACTTGATTGTGATATCTTTTTATTGTATTGTTGTATTCTATCTTGTTGTTTTCTGGTATCTTGTTTAGGACTTTTGCATCTGTATTCATCAGAGATATTAGTTGTAGTTTTCTTTTCTTGTGTTATCCATGGTTTTGGTATCAGGGTTATGATGGTCACAGAAAATGTGTTAGGAAGTATTGCCTCTTCCTCAGTTTTTGGAAGAGTTTGAGAAGGATAGGTATTAAATATTTGAATGTTTGGTAGAATTCACTAATGAAGACATCTGGTCCTGGATTCTTTATTTTTTGGGAGGTTTTCAATTTCCTTTCTATTGATCTCGGCATTTAGATTTTTCCAATCGATCTTGATCAGTCTAGGATGGTTATATATATTTCTAAGAACTTGTTTATTTCTTCTAAGTTATCAAATTTGGTGACATAACTTATAATTCATTGTATTTCTTTGTGTCCATTATAACTTATCCACTTTCATTTCTGATTTTGTTTGAGTGTTCTCTGTTTTTATTTTAGTGCATCTGGCAAGAGTTTTGTCAACTTTATCTTTTCTAACAACCAGCTCTTGTATTAATTTTTTCTGGTTTTTGGATGTTGTTATTGTTCTCTACTTTATTTAATTCTGCTCCAATTTTATTATTTCCTTTCTTCTGATGACCTTTTTTTTCTAGATCTTTAAGGAAAAATGTTAGGTAATTTATCTGAGATTTTTCTTGTATATTGAAGTGGGCATAATGCTATAAAGTTGATTTGTTGAGGCTGGTTTGTGCCCCATCATATGGACTATCCTTGAGAATGTTACATGTGCACTGGAGAAGAATGTGTAATCTGGTATTTAATGTGACAGGTCTATAAATATCAATCATGTCCATTTGATCTAATGTGTCATTTAAGGCTAATATTTCATTACTGATTTTCTATTTGGATGATCTATGCATTGCTGCCAATGGGTATTTATGTTCTCTACTATACTTGTATTTTTGTCAGTTTCTCCCTTTATGTCTGTTAATAATTGCCAAATATATATTTTTCTAATATATTTATTGATTTCAGAGAGAAAGGGAGAGGGAGAGAGAGAAACATCAGTAATGAGAATCATAGATCGGTTGCTCCCGCACACACCACACTAGGGATTGAGCCCACATCCCAGGCATGTGCCCTGACCGTAAATCAAACCATGACCTTCTGGTTCATAGGTCAACGCTCAACCATTGAGCCATGCTGGCCTGGCGATTGCTGTATACATCTTTTTTAAACATATTTTATTGATTTTTTTACAGAGAGGAAGGGAGAGGGATAGAGAGTTAGAAACATCGATGAGACAGAAACATCAATCAGCTGCCTCCTGCACACTCCCTACTGGGGATGTGCCCACAACCAAGGTACATGCCCTTGACCGGAATCGAACCTGGGACCCTTGAGTCTGCAGGCTGACGCTCTCTCCACTGAGCCAAACTTGTCAGGGCGCTGTATATATTTTGATGCTCCTAGGTTGGATGCATATATGTTGGTAAGTGTTATGTCTTCTTTTTTTTTTTTTTTTTTTTTAAATATATTTTATTGATTTTTTACAGAGAGAAAGGGAGAGAGATAGAGAGTTAGAAACATCGATGAGAGAGAAACATCGATCAGCTGCCTCCTGCACATCTCCTACTGGGGAGGTGCCCGCAACCCAGGTACATGCCCTTGACCGGAATCAAACCTGGGACCTTTTTTTAACTATGGCTGCATAGCTTTTCTCTGGATGCCCCTTGCTTGGAGATGCCGCTTTCACTCTTTCACTATGTTTGTCTGCTGAAGGCAGCAAATAGTTGGGTTTTGTTTTTTAATCTATCTAGTTCCTCTCTGTCTGTATTTTATTGGTGAGTTCAGTCCTGAATACATTTAGGATGATTATTAATATATGAGGATTTCCTATAGCCTTTTAGTTTTTTTGGTAGCTCTGTGTCTTCACTATTGCTTTTTCCTTTGTGTTTCTGTCTGTTATTTTAGTTTGTTGGTATTCTATAATATTTTTCCTTTGGTTGTGTGTGTGTGTCAGTTCTAGATTTTTGTTTTATGGGTACCATTAGGTTTATGCAAAAAAAGTCATTTTTAGTTTTGTTTTTTTCTTGTGATTGCACCTTATCTTCATTCACCTGTACAAGTTCGGTCCTTCCCCCCTCCCACTGTGTGTTCATTTCCAATTGCAGGAGCTATTTGACTTGCTTACTTACTTTATTTTTAATCCTCACACAAGGATATGTTTTGATTGATTTTTCAGCTGGAACACTCTAACAAGCTAGATATCTTATTCTTAATAGTGATGTCTCTTTTTACATTTTTTGAATATTTTATTCCGCTCTCTCCTAGCTTATAGTGTTCCCGCTGAAAAATATGATGCTAATCTAATGGGCTTTATTTCATAGGTTACTGTCTTCTTTACCCTGACAACCTTGAGGATTTTTTCTTTTTCATTAATTTTTGACAGTTTTTTTTTAATATTGATTTGAGAGAGAGAAAGAAAGAAACATTGATATGAGAACGAAACATCAATTGGTTGTCTCCCGTACATACCCCAACCGCATCAAAGCCGCAACCTGGGTATGTGCCCTGACTTGGAATCAAACCCACCACTTTTCGGAGCATACTGGACGACACGGCACACCGGCCAAGGCAATTTTTGACAGCTTTAATATAATATGCCTTTCAGAAGCATTTTTTGGGTTGATATAAGTAGGTGTTATATCTAGGTGTAAGCTTCTTAGATCAAGTGTCCAGCTCTTTCCTTATGTGTGAAAACGTCTCATCAACATATTGTTTGAATAAGCTCTCTGTTACCTTCTCCCCTTCTCTCTCTCTCTCTCTTTTTTTTTTTTTTAATTGATTTCAGAGAGGAAGGGACAGAGAGAGAGAAATTAAAACATCGATGATGTGAGAGAATCATTGATTAACTTCCTCCTGCATGTCCTGCATTGGGGATCGAGCCTGCAATCTGGGCATGTGCCCTGACCAGGAATCGAACTGTAACCTCCTGGTTCATAGGTCAATGCTCAACCACTGAGCCACACTGGCCAGGCAAAACCATTATTCTTTTTTTTTCTTTTTTTATTTATTTATTTATTTTAAATATATTTTATTGATTTTTTACAGAGAGGAAGGGAGAGAGATAGAGAGTTAGAAACACCAATGAGAGAGAAACATCAATCACCTGCCTCCTGCACACCCCTACTGGGGATGTGCCCACAACCAAGGTACATGCCCTTGACCGGAATCGAACCTGGGACCCTTCAGTCCACAGGCTGACGCTCTATCCACCGAACCAAACCGGCTAAAGCCAAACCCATTATTCTTATATTGCTCTAGTAGAATCAGATAGTTTTCATGAAGTCTTTAATCTTTCTACTCTCAGTTCTCTGTTCTTCCACCTGAGACATTTCTAAATTTCTGTCTTCAGTTTTACTAATTCTTTCTACCGTCTAGTCTGCTCTCTTTCCTATGTTTGCTAGTTCATTCTTCATCTCTCCTATTGATTTCTTCAAATCCAAAATGTCTGTTTGGTTCTTGTTTAAAGTTTCCATTTTTTTTATAAAGAACTCCTTTTATTCATTGATTCTATTCCTAAGCTAGTTGCATTGTTTTTTTGAATTTGCTTATATCTGAGTGAATACTTCTAGAGCTGTTTTCTTGAATTTTCTGTCCTTTTTATCACTTCCATGTCTCTAAGTTTATTTTCTGGGTATTTTTTATTTTCTTTCTGAACTCCTTTGTTACATTGGTTATTTATTGTGCTTGATGCATTATTTCTCTCTGTCTGGGCATTTATGAGAATTAAACCTCTTTTCTGTTAAGTGTTTGACTCTACTGTTTAGCACATCAATTTTCAACTTTTTTCATCCCATGTCACACATAAACTAATTATTAAACTTCTGTGGCACACCAAAATATATACATATTTTGCCAGTCTCACCAAAAAGTAGGCATAATTAAGATTGATTTACAAAAAAATAATAATAATTGTAATTACCTACAGTTTTTGCTCCAAAGTGACTTTTTTTTTTTTTAAATATATTTTATTGATTTTTTACAGAGAGGAAGGGGGAGAGATAGAGAGTTAGAAACATCGATGAGAGAGAAACATTGATCAGCTGCCTCCTGCACATCTCCTACTGGGGATGTGCCCGCAACCCAGGTACATGCCCTTGACCGGAATCGAACCTGGGACCTTTCAGTCTGCAAGCTGACGCTCTATCCACTGAGCCAAACCGGTTTCGGCCCAAAGTGACTTTTTTAAAAATCTGGTGTCTGTACTTCTATATATAAGGGTTTCTGGTACCAAGAATTAACCAATCAGATGTTACTTTATTATACAATACTAGAGGCCCGTTGCATGAAGATTCATGCAATAGTCCTTCCTTCCCCTAGCTGCCGGCACCGGTTTTCCTACGGCACCCAGGATCCAGGCCTTTGGTCCGGCCACAGCAGCGAGGCTTGGCTTCTCCACTCTGGCTGCAGCGGAGAAGCCAAGCCTTTCAGTCTTCAGTCGTCTTCAGTCTTCAGTTTTCACTCTGCGCCTGCATATGCAAATTAAATGCCATATTTGTTGGGTTAATTTGCATACTCGTCCTGATTGGCTGGTGGGCGTAGCAGAGTGACACCATTTGCATGTTTCTCTTTTATTAGTGTAGATGGCCAACAAAATGCAACTCTATTATATGGTCTGATTATATTATATTTATGGTTTAAGACAAGGCATTTTACACTGGACAGCTGCTGTTGTGTTGGCTGTTGTCATTTTTATATTTGACAGTGTAGGGAAAAAAGGTCAGTGCCCCTGACTAAAATAGTCAGGCATTGCATGTTTTAAGTTCTTACAGCACACCAGTTGAAACTCATTGGCTTAGCATACAGTGGGGCCTTGACTTACGAGTTTAATTCGTTCTGTGACGGAGCTCGTAACTCAAATTACTCGTATGTCAAATCAACAGTGAACGAGTGAGATATGTGATGCTGGGCTGATGTTGTGGCGTTCACCGTGACGTTTGCTGCACCAACTAGCAGTGGGGTATCTGAAGCTGGCTCGTAACCCGAATTTTAGCTCACGACTCAAAGCAAAAAATCGGCCGAGAGACAGCTGGTATCTCCAAAAACTCGTTAGTCGGGACACTCGTAAGTCAAGGCCCCACTGTATTGATAAGTAGAGGTCTTTCTTTTATTTTCCCGTAGGTGGCGCTGAAGCACTAGGTTTTGATTTTTGTCTTACCTGTACTACTGGGGCTTCCTCGATCTCTGGGTTAGTGTCTCCTCATTCATGGAAATTGTCCCATATCCTCCAAGGAGGTGGGCATCCTTTTAATGACCCGGGGCTCAGTCTCAGCGGGTACCAGCCATCCAGGGCCATTGCTGCCTCTGTCCCTTCATTATATCCATGGGAGGTGTCACCCCGACCCTTCGCGGCTGTCCTGTCCATTGTGTTGCAGTGAGCAGCAGACTGCATCAGCCGCTCTTGTTTCTGTCCTTCGCCCCTCTTCCCTCTTTGCCTACTCACTCTGCTATGCCCACCTTTAGATGTCTCAGTGCGTGCATCCCTGGAAGCTATTTGTGTGTTGAACAGGGAATCCTGTTTTGAATTATGGCTGTCCAACTTCTTGTAACTTCAAGGGGAAGACCTCTCATGTTGCCTCTCATGTTGTGTAGCATCCTACATGCCCCAGTTGTCCTTCTTTTGCCTTTCTCTCTTCACATACTTTTTTTTTTTTTTTTTTTTTTTTTTTTTTTTTTGCGAACTCATTTCATTATCAGAAAACTAAACCCAGCAGTAATCATGGCAGACCGTGAATTTAAATTTTTTTTTTAAGTTATATTTGTGGCCTTAGTTGGGTGGCTCAGTTGGTGGAGTGTCATACCATACATCAAAAGATTACAGGTTTGCCTGACCGGTTTGGCTCAGAGGATAGAGCATCAGCCTGCGAACTGAAGGGTCCCGGGTTCGATTCCGGTCAAGGGCATGTGCCTTGGTTGCGGGCACATCCCCAGTGGGGAGTGTGCAGGAGGCAGCTGATCGATGTTTCTCTCTCATCGATGTTTCTAACTCTCTATCCCTCTCCTTTCCTCTCTGTAAAAAATCAATAAAATATATTTAAAAAAAAAAAAAAAAAGATTACAGGTTTGATTCCTAGTCAGGGCGCATACCGGAGACAACTGATCCATGTTTCTCTCTCCCTCTTTCTCGTTCTTTTCCTTTCTCCCTCCCCTTCTCTCTAAAATCATTAAACATATCTTCATGTGAGGATTTTTTAAAAGTTATATTTGTGAAATGTGGTTAATCTTTTTCATTTGTGACATATATAATAAATACATGTTTTTTTATTTTTTCAGAATTGGGTTGTAAGTAAATTTGGAAGAGTCTTACCTGTTCTTCATCTAAAGAATCAACATAAACGTAAAATATCCTTTGCAATTGGGTTTCCAGAGTAATTATTATTTAGCACAGTTTTGGCTAATTACCAAAGCTTACTTCCTATCTTTAGAATTTCACTACCTCTGTCAGGAAATCTTTAGATGTTTAACAGTTTTATGTTCTCAACTTCCAGGCAAGGTAAGACCTTACTACCTGCATGAATGGAATAATTAAGATAATAATTAGAGAATATAATGAGGTTTTATATGAGTAAGTGATACAAATGATGATTGTCAAAGAAGCTTTTCACTTATTAATTTATATGCCTTTCTCTCACTTGACGTGGATTCAGAGCCTTTGCTGAAAGATCTAAAGTGGGGCAATGGACATAGGGCCATTGTCAAAGAAGGCTTTAGAGGAAGTGCAGGAGGTTTCACATTCCTGGAAATGTGATGGGAAGGAGGAGTTCAGGAAAGAGGAAAATAGTAGATTGAAATATGTAGATAAACATGAGAATGGTGGGTGGAGAAGTAGTGTGGCGCCCAGAATGCGCAAATTCAGATACGCCTGTTCCTTTGAGGAAATGAGGTCAGATTGTTAAGACTTGGAATTTCTAGTGTTAAGAACTTCTGGGCAGAGGTGCACTTGTGTATCTTTACCTGTTCTAATGCGAGTCTTTCATTCAGAGGGGATGTCGTGCATCCAGTGTGTTTAAAATGTGCTGAGGGAGCTGGGAACTAACAGATTGCCCAGAGGTGACTGATAGGAAACCGCCACCTCCCTGAGCTTAGAGCAGCAGAAAGGCATGTCCTCGTTGCTGGAGCCTTCCCTTCCAGAGCACTAAACCCAGAGAAATGGTGGGTCCTTCTTCCTCTTTCCCTTCTTGCTTCCTACCAGTGGTAGCCACTAACAGCAAAGAGGAAGATTCTGAAGAGAAGTGTGAAGCTGAGAGACCATGGACACTTTATGGACGGCCTCACATACTTGATATGTGTTCATTAGTTACTATCGGAACAAAAAAGCTTTTCAGGGGTGATAACTCAAAGCAGCTTATTTATTGCCTGTTCATATGTGTTAGGAAATTGGCAAATGCCAAGTGTCATCACAGCATGTTGACATTAACTAGAATCCTTCTTGATGATGTTAGCCACAAAACACATCCTGGTAAAGAGTTATTATCTTTCTAATAAAGACCTACAAAATGCCCTGCAGAGAAAAGAGATGTAAATGGAGGTTATTGAGCTGAGAGAGTCAAAGCTCGGATAGCTAGAATCAGAGAGAGTGCTGAGAAGGCAGGAAAGCCAAAGGAATTTGAGACCCGAGGACATGTGATGTCTAGCTGTGCCCCTCTGGGTACTCCTCTGTTCTCTGCTTTATAGCATCAGCTCCGTAGATGGGTTTCTCGGATTTACAGAAAACAGTCTTTGGTACTCTTTATCTAGAATCTAATTTGAGTGACTTTGCTGTGGTGTCTACATACAAGTATATATTCTGCTGATTAATATTGATGGTGCTTTTGATAATTCTGGATAGAACTCTCAATTCCAGAGAACCTGAGGTAGCCTAGTGAAATTCTCATTTTGTTGGATAGGAAACTGAGGGTAAGATTAAACAGTATTGTGCAGTGAAGGCGGAGGATGGGGCAGGAGTGGGTGGAAGGGATCAAAGGGTGGGGGAGAAATGGGGGACATCTGTAATATCCTCAACAATAAAAATAAATTTTTAAAAAAGACTAAACATTATTCCTTTTGCTTCACCAGATTGACAGGTTTTCTTAAAACCTAGTGCCTTTGTTTTTGTTCCTTGACTTATGGAAACATAAAGTATGATCCATCAAAATACTGCCACAACTTAAAAAAAATAGGGGAGGATTTTACAAATGCCATTCCTGTATCCAATCTCACTTGGGAATTGGAAGGAGGGAATGATCCTATGAGTAAGAAACGGCAAGGAAAATTTTCTGACTTTTTCAGCCCTCCCAAGAAGATAATAAAAGTGCAGAAGGATCAGAGTTCCACTTTGTCTCTGACTTTGAGACCAAGACCCGGGAGGGTAATAATGGAGAATCCACACTTACCACAGCAACAAACCACACAAGAAATACCTAATGATCCTGTTACTCTTAAATCACCCCAATTACCTGATTCTGATAGTCAGAAACTTAAAAGTGTGTTTCTTCAGACTTCTGGCTTGGAAAACACTGGGAACAAAAATAGCATCTCTGAGGATGATATCGATTCTGAAGATGAATTAAGACTAATGATCGCAAGAGAGGAAAACTTAGAGAGAACTACATGGTCCTCAATAAATGAATATGATTCCTTTGAAATTGTAAGGGATGATTTCAAATCAGATGTTCACAAACTTTGTTCTTTAACAGGTTTAGGCAACAAAAATGTCTCTTGTTTTGATAGTGAAGATAATGTGGGAAGAGATTACGACAATGATTCAGGAGATACAGATGACACTGCAATGAAAAAAAATGTTGGTAAGGTTAAAAAGAGTACAGGATTTCCACAAATGGAACAGTCTGTATACAAGAAAAGTTCTTTGAAAAATAGAAAAAAGTGTGAGCTTTCTGATCATTGTACTAAAGTACAAAAAAGCAAAACCAATGTGGAGCTAGCCTTAAGTCATAGAGTAAAGCAGCTTAGCTTTAAGTCCTTGTCCAACTCCAGTAGCAGTGAAGATGCTGATTCTCTGTCAGAATCAGCCGAGTCTGAGGAAGGGAAGTATAACGCCATGATGAAAAACTGTCTCCACGTGACTCTCTCTTTAGCTGATTTGGGACATTTGGCTGCCAGTGACCTGAAGGCTCCAAAGGAAGATTCTGAGAGTGGTGGCTGGGAAACCACCTCCAAGTGTGACAGAGCCTCGAAGAGCCATGGGACTTCTGGTGGCCTCCACAGAAGTCGACAATGTATTTATCCTGAAGAGATTGTGGCTTCCCTTTTAGAAGGAGAAGAGAATACCCCTGGAAAACAGAAACCAAAGGAAAACAACTTAAAGCTAAAATTCCAGGCATTCAAGGGAGTAGGCTGTCTCTATGGAAAGCAGCCAGTGAAAAAGTCCTTGAAAGAGAATGTTGCCTCTAGCAATATTAATAAAAATGAGCATTCCTTGAAGCTTGAGGATCCCACTAGCATGTCCTTGGAAAAGGGCTTGCCATATTCAAACGGCTCGTCAAGCAAACTGACTCCTTTCCAAGGTGCAAAGAAAGCAGATGACCCAAACTATATCCAACCTCAAAAGAGACAGTTTACTTTTAAGACCCAGAATCACAAAGTGCAGTCCCCTAGCAGTTCAGAAAAGGGAAGTAGAAATCCTATTTCTAGTTTGTTGCCATTGAAAGACAAGAAGCCTCTAAGGCTTGGTGCAGAAACCTCCCTGAGAGGCTTTGATGAAGACTGTTGCCACGGGACCACAAAGACAGGAGAGGACTCTGAAAAGAGGCCTGATCTAACCAGCCACATGGTTCCTGAGAATTCCCCAGAGTTCTCCAGGATGAACACTCAGGGAAGCAAAACTGACTTCCCATTTTCTCTTAATAGTTCATCCAATGTTTTTGCTAAGGATAAGCATGCTGAAGATAATCAGAAGCGTTTGTCAGCCTTAGAGGCAAGGCAGAAAGCAAAAGAAGTGCAAAAGAAGCTGGTTCATAATGCCCTGGCCAATTTGGTGAGTCTGTGGTTTAACAAGAACTCTAAAATTGCATCCTTTTCTTCCCATGAAGGTAGACGTGCCCCTTTAGAGGTCAGTATCTTGGCACACACCAGTTTCATTTTCTTTGTCCTTGAGTTGGAAGCCTTTATCACCATGAATATTTAGTATATTCCAACGAAAGTGAGATTAATCTATTTATAAAAACCCCTTTTAATTTGTTTTTATCAATTTTTTTTCATAGTTTCCTGTAGGAATTAGAACTGGTATAGTTAAGTAATATATCCTAATATGTCCGAGTTTACATATAAGTCACCTCCCAAGTGATTTATGTCTTGCCACGATTTACTGTAATGAACCTTTATTCATTCTTCCAACATCTGTTAAGTACCTATGAAGTTCTAGGCCTTTACTGTAAGTACTAGATTTATAGAATGAGGTCAAGAAACATGGTTCCTGCCTCAGGTATTGGCTCTTAGTGTGGTATGCAGAAGGTGACATTTGAGTTCCAAGGTCCAGAGAGAGTATGCCCATGTGCCCTGGCAGCACCGGGGGGCACCAAGTGGGTTAGGGGGATGGGAATAGGGGGTTTCCTCAGCCTAAACTGAGGCTAGTGAGAACAGTATACACCGATTGGGCAGAGGTAAGAGGGTGGGAAGGGAGAGGAAAGGCATTTCATGAAGAGGCAGCAATTTATACAAAAGGGAATGTGTGTGACTGAAATGTTTGAAGTATGAGGTGGCAAGAAATAAGACTAGAGAGGTAAATAGGGACAGTGAAGAGTCTACAGGGCTTGGACTTTATTTTTTCTTTTTTTTTTTTTAAATTGATTTAAGAGAGGAAGGGAGAGAGAGGTAGAAACATGAATGATGAGAAACATTGATCGGCTGCCTCCTGCACACCCCACACTGGGGATCAATCCTGCAACCCGAGCATGTGCCCTGACCGGGAATCGAACCATGACTTCCTGGTTCATAGGTCGACACTCAACCACTGAGACAAGCCAGCCGGGCTGGACTTTATTCTTAAGGCTGTGAAAAGACTGAATAACTTTAAACAAAGGAATGAAGATTGATTGTGTCTATATTGGAACAGGAATTGGCAAACTATAGCTCATAGGCCATGCAGCCCACAGCCTATCTTGGTACAGCCTCCAAGCTATGAATGGTTTTTACATTTTTAAAGCATTTTTTCAAAAAGAATACAAGACAGACCACAGATCCTTTGTGCCCCTTTACAGAAATAGTTTGCCAAGCTCAGTTTGGAGAAAGTTATTCAGGCCATGATCAAGAAATCAAATGAGGCAAATCTGGAACCTGGGACAGCCTTTGGGAAGGTCATGAGCCAGAACCAAGGCAGTAACCATGGGAGTAGATTGAAAAGATACCGCGAAGGCCTAATTGATGGGACTTTGATCAGCTGGATATGCAAAGGAAGAGAAGTCATAAGTGTCCATCTTGGGAAAATAATTCGATGATAGCATTCACTGGATAAGAAAAGGGTGGGAAGTAGACTTGGCAGGGAATGGAGGGTTGTCTCACATAATGCCTTTGATGACCACTCTAGGATGGTCCTCCAGAGGACAAGCCAACACACATCATCTTTGGTTCTGACAGTGAAATTGAAACAGAGGAGACGTCCATTCGGGAGCAGAGCCAGCTGGTAGAGAAACCAGTAAAAGTAAGAGTTCAGGGTGTCTTTGTGGGCACTGCTCTCTTTCTGCAGATCCATTTGCAGACCAAGACCTGCACACAACTGCCAGGCTCAACGTAAAATCCTCTGGAGCCACAGGGAAAGCCAGGGCTCCCTAGTCACCACACACAGACTCCAGGGACCGTGGCGATTTTCTCCCACGTGAACATCTCCACATTACCTGCATCAATATCAGTGAAATCCCACAGAAATTATTCCCACGTTTATAACAACTGCCGTCCTTCCCCGCCCACACCCCCATTCGGGCTGCATTGGGAGCCTCTGCTTGGCCTGAAAGGCCACGTAGGTATCACTGAGTCAGGAGTGTCTATCCTAACCATCACCACCTTTCCTGGGAGAGCCATCTGGGTTGTGGGTTCTTAAATGTGAGGGGAGGTTGCATAATGAAGGAAACACTGACTGCCTTCGCTTTGAATACACGTTTCTGCCTTCACCTGTCACAGGAGGTCCTGAGCCGAGCATCCGGAACGCTGTTTGGCAGCAGCAGTGAGGAGGAGTCGGACCCTGAAGAGGACAGGAATAGGTTCAGAATCAAGCCTCAGTTCGAGGGTAGAGCTGGACAGAAGGTTAGTAAAGAATGAAAATGCTACAACTTGCAACATGTTCTTATTTTTTTGACATAGTCCTTAAATCTAGGCAAATGGAGGAAGACTTTGACCCACACTCCAGTTTTTAACTTTGTTTTGGGAGTAAATCCCCCACAACCATTCTGACTGGACCATGGATAGGTGAAGTTATGCAAACATACATTGTCATTTCAGGGTTGGGGAGGGCACCTGGAACATCTTTTTTAGAAGCGGTTTCTTGGGACTATGGCTATAATTGTGTATGTGTTTGTCTTGGTAGCTCATGAATTTGCAGTCTCACTTTGGCACTGATGACAGATTCCGCATGGACTCCCGATTTCTAGAAAGTGACAGTGAAGAGGAACGCGAAGGTAAAAGCCTCGTTGTCTGAACAGTGCTGATGTCAGAGTTGGGACCCCCTAAGAAGTCATCTGGTCCAGCTTTTGCTTAACACTGGAGAAGCTCTACATCCCAAAATAGTGACTTATGAAGCTTGTTATCCAGTGCACAGCTTGTTCAGTAGTCCTTGAGTTCGTTTGCACATATTAGTTTATTTAGAAAATTTAAATTACTTGAAGCTGCCAGAAAAGAGAGGAATAGATGGCATCCACCAGAGGCACGGTCTTTCTCTGTGCCATCTCTCGCACAAGGGAAGAGGTGAGGTCCCTGTCTGGCAGTAGAATTGGAGGTCCAGGTGAGGTCATGAAAGACAGTTAAGTCACACTTGACTCTGAAAGAGAGTATTCTTCCCTGGTGTGTTTGCTGGGTGCAGGTATTTTAAAAGGAATGTGCTATTGAATGCCATTCTACTTGGATGTGTCTTTATTGGGGATGTGTCTACTTGGATGTATCTAGCAGTAATGATGCTATCAGAAGCACCCAAATTCTACTCTTTTACTTCCTTTAGCGTCTTCCATAGCAGTGGTTCTAAACTTTCTCTAGAAGATCTACTTCTGTCCTCGAGTGAGCTCCCTGCTCCCTCTGTAGTCACAGAACTTCTTTCTTTACACCTTCCCTTTTTCCTTCCTTCTTGAGTTAACCTAAACTGCATCTGAATTCCTCATTCCTACATCCCACTACCCCCTTTCTCACAGACTTCTTCATCTTCCCTTTCTTGTAGCTCCATTTCTCTTTCTACAGAAAAAGCTCTCATAGGTCCAAGATGCCATTCCTTTAACCCTGCCAATTTTCAGGTTGGCACTCCTAAGATTTTAGTTCTAAACTTGAAAAAAATAAATTACATAGGACCAGTTGACTATTGAAAAAACAGTCTGATTTGAGTACTTCAGTTCTTTGAGGTGATTGTTATGTGTTGTACATTTCCAGGAACCAGAGTTCAAAGATTAAATTCTCCAGGGTCCACACAACTTATGCTTCAGAGCGTCTCACTCAAAATCCCATGTTGAACACAGGAATGGACAGAACCTTGGGAGTAGCCTACATTTAGAAGCTGCACAGAGAGGTTACTTCCTTACCTTCTGCCACTTTAGTCTGTCTCTTTACAGCTCTTCTGTTAAGTGCTCCTTCAAAAGCTGTGAATTACCAGTTCACCAAATGGAGTGGCATTTTCTCCAGCTTCAGCCTCTTCAGCTGACCTGCAGCATTTGTCACTGGTGAAATGTTCTCTTTGCTTTGCTCTCCATTATACCACAACTTCCTGGTGTTTTTCTTCTTTCATTGGTAACTAATGTTCCTTTCGCCTCCAGGTGTAGGCTCTTCCCAGGTTTCTGTAAGTTCTTGTTGCTCTAGCCTTCTCTTATATGGGTAATTTCCATCTTTGATTCTGATTGCTCTACGGAGTCCCATGCCTTCTTTTCTCGGTGCCTGATGGATCGTTCTCACAGACATTCCTGGGCCCGTGTGAAAATTAAAGTCCCAACTTCAGTTTCTCTCTCAGCTCCTCCAGACCCTGCTGTCATTGTTGATGGCACTCCATTCCTAAGGCATGCGGACACATGTCCTTGTGTTTTCCTCCCTACTTTTGAGGCTCATTTTCAGTGAATTGCAAATACTGTCCTGCAAGTAGGCAGCACGGCCACCCTACAAACACCCTTTCGTGTTCTACTGTCTAGTGGTCATTATTAGGTTAAAATTGAAATTGCCATTTTCAAAGTCAAAAGCTATCGAATTAGTAGTTTGATATGGTTCAATCTAATGCAGCGTAAAACTTTGTACTTTTAAAAATATGTGTTCATTTTGTCTTCCCCTACCTGCCACATGTTCCTCCCATCACTGTGTCTATCCTTACACTTTGCCTGGCTTATAAAGCATTTCTTGATTTATTTGAACATGATCTGTACCTCCGTGGAACCCTTAGAAAGTTTTGGGACATCTCTCTTGATAATTTTTTCAAATCAGTGTTTTGATTTAGTTTCTGTTTTGGTTTATATCCTGTAAAAAGTTGAAAGGGTCTTTAACCCTTTTCGGTCCAATGTGGAGGCTGACTAGACAGACCAGGCGCTAGGAGCAGGTCCAACATCGAGGCTGAGGTCGACACTGCAAACCGGTTCAACATTCAATCCCGTCAATTAATTTGGACCAGACTGTTTGATTTCCAAAAATAAAATTGGACCACAAAGGGTTAAGGCTTATATCTGTAATCCAAAGTAGCTGCTTAACTTTCCTCCCTGATAAGTGTCTTTTTCTGTAACTGAGGGTAGCAGCTATCTCCTTCCATGATGCCCTGTGCATATGGACCTTGGGCTCTCTTCCTGCAGTATTGATGACTGTATCAAAAGCTGGCACAGCTGTCTACTGAAATACATTCATCAGTAGAATTGCCATCTTTCACTTTTAGGTGTAATTTAGGTTACAGTTTAAAATGTTAATAACTCAGTCTGGAATAACTTTAGTTTTGTAATTGATATCTTTCTATACAGTTGTCAGTCTTTACCTTAAAAACTGTTACATGTGCCAATGAAAACCATTAAATACAGATTCAGTTTTTATAATTACAAATAAAAGTGAGAATTTTTGTTTGCTGGCCATGCAACTCCTGAGTACACTGTGGCGTTGAGGGTCTTGGTGATAGGGAGATTATTAGCAAAATGAGTTTTCACTTTTTTTTCTGCCTATCTTAATGTGTTTAGGTGATTGATAAGTATTTGATGAGTGAGACTCCTCAAGTTATATTTGCCAAGAGATCACTAATTACCTGTTTCCCTTTAAGACGTAAACGAAAAGAAAACTACTGAGAAAGAAGAGCTCGCTGCAGAAAAGCTGAAAGCCTTAAATATTGTGCAGAGTATTTTGCAAACCAACTTAAGCAATTCTGCAAGCAAAGGATCAGTACCTGCTAAGAAATTTAAGTACGGTTTATGTCCTATCCCATTCCACCTTTTTTTTCTTTGCTACAAATGCCTTCCTGAACTCAGTTTAAAACGAGGCCATTTTAAACTTGCTGAGGTGGCCTATGGCAGGATGTATCAGACCTTTAAAAATATACCTGCCTTTGACCCAGTGATTCAATTTTAAGGAATTAATCTAAAATAATTTCTATGCCTATGCTCTTAGATATCATAGCAGCATTTCTTCCATTAAGTGTTATCAATACAATTCTTTCTCATGGATAATTTTAAACATGTAATTTAGAGAAACTAGTGTAATGAAATCCGTGTATACCAGCTTCTGTATTACCAACATATGACCAGCTTTCTTTTCTCTGCCTTTACTCACTTTCCCTTGCTTTACCCACTGAAATATTTTATGCAGACCCTAATAGTATGTCATTTTATCTCTATATATTTTAGTATGTTTAAAATAATGTTTAATATTAACAGAAAGGTCCAGGGAAACTTAAAAGTAATAATTTAAAATATTATTTCTAATGAGATTTTTCTTTGATATCGTATAGCGTTGTCTTGCTCAAAAAGTGGAATGGCTCTGGTGTTGAATTATAATTTGCTATTAACTTTTTGCATTTGTTTTCTGATTTATCTCTTCCAACTTATCACTCCTTTTTTTACATAGGGACATCATACACTATGATCCAACAAGGCATGACCATGCCAATTATGAAAAAAAGAGAGATGATAAACCAAAAGAAAGGTAAGTCAAGCTCCTTCTTTTAGTAGCAGGTTTATGTGAATTAATCTCACTACAAACAAAGGGAAAAGTCAATAGTAATGAATATCGCATCCATTGGCCTCCACTGTGTTTAGTTTAAGACCAGGGGAGAAAAAGGACTGGAGTTATGAGTGTGGTGGAGAGAGCCTTACCTTGGGCAAAGGAATGTCATACATGTGAAGGATAATGTGTGCTCCTGCTCTAGCATGGTGCCTCCTATGCACATCAGTTTCTTGTAGCTGCTGTAACAGATTACCACAAACTTGGTAGCTTAAAACCACAAAAAGTATTTTCTCACAGTTTTGAAGGCTAGGATTCTGTGTTGATAGAGTAGCTTTCTATGCTAGGTGTCCTATAGGGCCCAGTGGCTCAGCCTCCCCAATTACCTGAGGTGGACACTCTTGGTGCACCCCTTTGTGGGCTTCTTGTAGTTAAGCCTTGATTATTGTAGGTATCACTGGGAGGAATTGACCTCCAGGCCACTTGGCTGTGAGAATCAGCTGAGTCTACTGTGGGAGAACTTCGTGCTGGAGACACCCTTATGGGGCAAGACTTGCTTCAGTGGGGCTTTGGTGCTCACTGAGTCTGCCCCCTGAGTGTGTCCCTTATGGATCTGAGGAGTTGTAATCTGGATGGTCCCTCTCTGACCACTGGGTACACTGGCTCTTGGATCTCTAAGGAGGTGCTAATTTAGCCTCTGCCTGAGGCTACCCAGCAGGAGCTGTGGAGAGATCTGCAGATTCCTCTTCTTTGTTTGGGGTTTGGAGGTGCCCAGATGAGGCCCAACTGTGAAGCAGTGCAAGCTGCTGAGGGGTCTTGGGCCTTCTTTTGGAAGTTCTGGGTCTCTCTGACCCAGCTGCAGTTTGTTAGGTAATTTTAGATTGCAAAGGGCTAGGCCATTCATATGCAAAAGCCTTTGCGCACAGCTTGGGTGGGGCGGGGTCTCAGGGAATCAACAGGGCAGAGAAAACAGCTATAGCTGATCCTCAGTCCTGCCCTTAGAGGCCCCGGGTCTCATTGTCCCCCGGTAATCGCCGTAAGCGCCTCTGAGAGAAAGCTGCCCTTGAGTTCCGCCCAATGCCAGACAGTTCAGTTTCTCCCCGTATGAGTCTGGGTCCCCAGAGATTCGCCGGGAACTGGAGTTCAGAGCAGTCGGGAGCTTAAGACTCCCACCCCATTGAAATAGACAACTGCATCCTCAGTTGCCAGCCCTTTCCACATGCGCCTCCATACCTCTGAGTCTCAGTGTGCTTTTCTCTTTCTTTCTAGTTGTAGAATTTCCACTCAGCCAGCCTTCCTGTGGTTCTGGATGATGTCCGTTTTGTCTTTTAGTTGTATTTTAATGTTTTAAATGCAAACTTTTTCTTTTTTTTTTCTTTTTTTTTAATATATTTTATTGATCTTTTACAGAGAGGAAGGGAGAGGGATAGAGAGTTAGAAACATCGATGAGAGAGAAACATCGATCAGCTGCCTCCTGCACACTCCCTACTGGGGATGTGCCCGCAACCAAGGTACATGCCCTTGACTGGAATCAAACCTGGGACCCTTGAGTCCGCAGGCTGACGCTCTATCCACTGAGCCAAACCGGTCAGGGCTTAGTTGTATTTTTGAAGTGGTTGTGCGAGGCAGCAATTTCCAGTGTTTACCTATGCCGCCATCTTGGTTTCCCAAGGCTAGGATTCTGAAATCACAGTTAATGGCAAGGCTGCATTCCTTCTGAAGATTCAGTGTGAAATAGTTTCACATCTTTCTCAGCCTCGGGTGCCTGCCAGCAGTCCATGGTATTCTTTGGCTTGTGGCTACATTGCTTCGTCCTTTGCCTTCACCCTCACATGGCCTTCTCCTCTTTTCTGTTTGTATATCATCTTTGTGCCTTATTATATGGATGATTGCGTTTAGGACTGACCTGGATAATCCTGGATAGTCTCTTTGTTGCCTGGTCCTTAACCACCAAGTCCTTTTTCCAACGAAGGTAATACTCACAGGTTCCAGGGTTTAGGGCCTGAACATGTCTTCTGGGGAACAACCATTCAGTGCACTACTCTAGTGTGGTAGGAGCTTCTCTTTCCTATAAATATGCTGTCAGTTTGTTAAATGTGCCAAATACATGAGGCAAACAGTAACTTCCCCTGCCTTACCACTAAAAACATGTGGTATCCTGAATTAAATCCTGGAACAAAAATGACATTTGTAGAGAAACTAGTGAAATGAAAATAAAGTTTGAGTTCCGTTTATAGTAATGCAAAAACATTAACCTTTTAATTTTGGTAATTATACTATAGTTATATAAGGTGATACTATGAGAAGAAACTAGGTGAACACCACTTTTCAACTTTTTTTGTAAATCTAAAATTATTCTAAAATTAAAGGTTACTTTTAAAAAGAATCACATATCAAACCAAAGTAGAACCAATATAAATATTCCCTGCAATATAAAAATTTTTTTTTCTTTTTTTTTCTTTTCTTTTTTTAATTAAATCTTTATTGTTCAGATTATTACATTTGTTCCTCTTTTTCCCCCCCATAACTCCCCTCCTCCCAGTTCACGCCCCACCCTCCGCCCTCACTCCCCACCCACTGTCCTCATCCATAGGTGCACGATTTTTGTCCAGTCTCTTCCCGCATCTCCCACACCCCTTTCCCCCCCAAGAATAGTCAGTCCATTCCCTTTCTATGTCCCTGATTCTATTATGATCACCAGATTATTTATTCACTTGATTCTTAGATTCACTTGTTGATAGATGCATATTTGTTGTTCATAATTTGTATCTTTTTTTTTTTTTTAATATATATTTTATTGATTTTTTACAGAGAGGAAGGGAGAGAGATAGAGAGTTAGAAAAATCGATGAGAGAGAAACATCGACCAGCTGCCTCCTGCACATCTCCCACTGGGGATGTGCCCGCAACCCAGGCACATGCCCTTGACCGGAATCGAACCTGGGACCCCTCAGTCCGCAGTCCGACGCTCTATCCACTGAGCCAAACCGGTTTCGGCCATAATTTGTATCTTTACCGTTTTCTTCTTCTTCCTCTTCTTAAAGGATACCTTTCAGCATTTCATATAATCCTGGTTTGGTGGTGATGAACTCCTTTAGCTTTTCCTTATCTGTGAAACTCTTTATCTGACCTTCAATTCTGAATGATAGCTTTGCTGGATAAAGTAATCTTGGTTGTAGGTTCTTGGTATTCATCACTTTGACTATTTCTTGCCACTCCCTTCTGGCCTGCAAAGTTTCTGTTGAGAAATCAGCTGACAGTCGTATGGGTATTCCCTTGTAGGTAACTGAGTTTCTTTCTCTTGCTGCTTTTAAGATTCTCTCTTTGTCTTTTGCTCTTGGCATTTTAATTATGATGTGTCTTGGTGTGGTCCTCTTTGGATTCCTTTTGTTTGGGGTTCTCTGTGCTTCTTGGACCTGTAAGTCTATTTCTTTCACCAGGTGGGGGAAGTTTTCTGTCATTATTTCTTCAAATAGGTTTTCAATATCTTGGTCTCTCTCATCTTCTGGCACCCCTATAATTCTGATGTTGGTACGCTTGAAGCTGTCCCAGAGGCTTCTTACACTATCTTCGTATTTTCAGATTCTTTTTTCATTTTGCTTTTCCGGTTGGGTGTTTTTTGCTTCTTCGCATTTCAAATCTTTGACTTGATTCTTGTGTTCCTCTGGTCTGCTGTTGGGAGTCTGTATAGTATTCTTTATTTCAGTCGGTGTATGCTTAATTTCTAGTTGGTTCTTTATCACAACATCGAGGGTCTCATTAGATTTCTCGAGGATCTCATTAAGTTTATCGGCGGCTTCTAGACAGTTCTTGAGAGACCTTAAAAGTGTGGTTCTGAACTCTATATCTTCCATTGACAATTTTGTCCTGTTTCTTTGTCTCCGCATTTTTTATGCTTTCTTGGTGCACCCCCCTAGTGGTCTTTGTGCGCAGTCTTGTAGTTATGCCTTGATTGTTGTAGCTAATACTAGGGGGGATTTGACCTCCAGACCAAGTGGCTGTCAAAATTTTGTATGTTATTTAAGGTTATCACAATGGTACATAAGTAGGGGATATTTTGTATAATATATTAGTTTTTGTTTACATATAGGCTTATTATCTATTGATGCATAACAATTTGGCCAAAACTTAGCACCTTTACACTAAAAACATTTATTATCTCAAAGTTTTCCTATGTCCAGAATTTGGGAGAAGCTTTAAGTGGTTCTGGCCAGGGTTTCTTAAGAGGTTGCAGTCAAGCCCTGGCTGATGTCACTCAGTTGTTTTAGCGTCATCCCATACACCAAAGGTTGCTGGTTCGGGTGCCATTTCGGTTCCTGGTCAGGGCACATGCCCAGGTTGCAGGCTTAATCTCTGGTCAGTTTATGTGTGCGAGGCAGCCAATCGACTTTTTTTCTCACCGATATTTCTCTTCTCCCTTCCTCTTGCTCTAAAAATTAATAAAAACATATTTTTAAAAGGAGGTTACAGTCAAAACATTGCCTGAGGCTTCAGTCTCTGAAGGTTTAACTGAGCCTGTAGGGTCTGCTTCCCAGATGGCTCATTTACATGTCTGTTAGCCAATTCCTTACTTTGTTGGCCTCTAATAGACAGCTTAAGTGCCCTTGTAACTTGACAGCTGGCTTCCCCAGACCACGTGACTGAAAACAGAGAAGGAGGAAGCCATAGTGTATTTTATGACCTAATCTTAGAAGTCACACACTGATACATCAGTCTTATTTAATCTTCTTTCTTTTTTTTTAAATATATATACTGATTTCACAGAGGGAGGGAGAGGAAGGAAGAGATAGAAACATTGATGATGAGAGAGAATCATTGATCAGCTGCCTCCTGCAAGCCCTACACTTGGGATCGAGCCCACAAACCGGACATGTGCCTTTTAACGGAATCAAACCTGAGATCCTTCAGTCCACAGGCTGATGCTCTATCCACTGAGCCAAACCGGCTAGGGCTTATTTAATTTTCTTGAGCCAAGTCACTGTCAACCAGTACTTTCATGGGGGAGTTTAAGTGCCATCTCTTGAAGAGAGAAGTATTGAGGTATTTGTGGACATATTTAAAACCAGGACAATTCACCCTCTGGCCACAAATTGTTTACATTCCCACCACGTGCAGAATATTTTCTCCTCCTCTCTAGACTCCCCCAGAAGTCTCAGCTCTTTACATTATTAATTTAAAATCCAGGATGTTGTCCCCCAAATAAGATCTAAGTGCAGATCAGGCTTACCTGTTGTTAGTACAGCACCTTGAGTGAGGCCTTTTGATTAGAAGACCTGGGAACATGTCATGGTGGAATGAGCATAGATTAACCAATCTAATGTAAGCACTACTATTCAGTGGAGAAAACAGTAGGCAGAAGGAGTCACTGGTCCATAGGAGCTCTGAAATTTAGGCAACCAAATGTCACGAGATCTTTTATTAGAATAATTCTCCGTAGTTCTTGACTCTGTCTTTTGCGTTATCCTTTTATATATATTGATTTGAGAGAGAGACATCAATTTATTGTTCCACTTATTTATGCTTTCATTGGTTGATTTTTGTATGTGCCCTGACTGGACATTGAACCCACAACCTTGGCATATCCGGACAACATCCTAACCAACAGAACTATGTGGCCAGAGCTGAGTAATTATCTCAGCCTGCTTGTAGAAATATGGGAGTCTGAAAGCCTCTTTGTTGTTAACTGTCTTTGTACTTAGCTGTTCTAGCTAGAGGTGTTTCTTTTAGTATAATCCTCTTAAAATATTCATGAGTCTCCTGTGAATATTCTTGGGGTTCATTCCATTAGACAAAAGCCACATTAGAAATCATTTTGAGGTCAGCTTTTTTTTTTTTTTGGTACTGTAGTCTTCTGCTAAGAGACATCATCTTTAAACTCCTTTTAAGGCTTATTATTGGAACAGTTGAAGTTTCTGAGCTCTGTGTAGTGTCTTAACCAGACAATTTGTCTTATACGTAGAATGGAGTGTACATACTTTTCTGCTAAGGGTCAGATGGTCTGCTGCAGTCACTCCGCCTTTGTAGCAAATGAGGGAGCTTGTATTTCAATAAAACTATGAGAAAGACCCACCTGTTACATATTATTTATGAATGTCACGAAATCATCTTTTAGTTCTTTTTCCAACCATTTTAAACTATAAAAAATATTCTTAACTTGTGGTACTTATATAAATAGACAGCAACCTTGATTTAGCCCGTGTGCCATAGTTTGCCAACACCTGCTTTAGATTATCTTTTTCTGAGAGTCTTAGATTTGATCTTTGCTTAGAAGCCACTTATTAAATTTCATGTCATTTGTCTTCTTGAGATTAGGAGTCTTTAAAACCATGAGATCCTGGTTCCTGACAAAACTTTTTTCTCTAGTTTCACTGTCTCTGCTCAGATTTTATGGTAAACAGCAAGCAGAAACCAGCAAATGACTTCATCACCTTCCTGGACATCTCCTTAGCTAGATCACCTGTTCATTAGATACATTTCTACTTCCCGTGTTAATAAAGGTGACAGTGTTACTGACCTTTCTGTCCCTGCATAGGAGGATCCCCTTTCCTGCATTTCCAATAGCACTCATTTTTCAGCACAACCTTCCTGCAGCCTCTTCAGTGGCCATATAGTTCCTAGTAACAGTCTTCTTAAGAGTCTGCAGGCTTTTGCTAACACCCTCACTGACCTACCAATTTCTGCCCATTGCTCGGGCTCTGAAGCCACTTCTATGTCTCTTCTAGGTCCCCAAATCTGTATCAGTTGTGCATTGCCATATTAAAAATTGCCTCAAAACTCAACAGCTTGAAACTGCAAGCAATATGTTAGGTTCTAATTTCTCTGGGTCAGGAATTTGAGAGTGCTTCACTAGGTAGTTCTGGCACAGGGTTCTCAAGAGGTTGGAGTCAAGATGTCAGCTAGGACTATAGTATCTGAAGGCTTGAGATCTGCTTGCAAGATGGATCAGGCACATGGCCATTGGCAGGAAGCCTCACTTCCTTGCCTCGCTGGCCTCTCCACTTACCTATTTGAATTCCCTCACAGCATGGTAGCTGTTCCACAAATGCAGTGACCAGAAAAGGGAAAGAGCAAGGAGGAAATCAAAGGGCCTTCTATGACCTTAGTATCAGTAGTCACACACTACCACATCTGCCTTATTCCATTAGGTAAAGAGGTAGAGTCCAGCCCACACTCAAGGAATGGGGGAATTCATCCCACCTCTTAGAGAAAAGTATCAAGGGATCTTTGGAACACTTGAAAACCACTCCATCCTAGCTCAATGGTAATCACTTAGGACTGTCATAAGGACGCCATTTTTTATAGCATTTGTTATCATTGGAGGCATAGCTGTCTTAAATTGTAGCTAGATTGGAAGCATTAAAAATTTCTTACTATGAGATAATCTCCACCAATAATAAGATGATCATTTAAGACATCTTGTTCACTTACTATTTTAGTAATATAATTAAATTTTTGGCCCGATATTACTCCTGATATATAGAGTCAGCTCTTCTAGGAAGGATTTTAATCTTTTATTAGCTAAAAAGTTGATATTGGAAACTGCCATGTAACTTTTTATCTAAGATCAAAGAGAAAAGCATATTCCTAAGTATAGAGCAGGTCTATGGTAATATACAAATTTCATCCCGAAACAAACTAGACTTAGCATGTTTATGATTCATTTCTAAAACAGAATTATGCCTAAATTCTTTTAATCCAGTTTTGTATAAGTTACAGAACTTTAGAACTGGAAATGCCTTCGAAGTCCCCTGGTTTAACATGTTCATTTTACAGATGAGATAACGGAGGCACAGGAAGTGAGTTTTCTTACTCAAAGCTGATATCTTAGGTGTACTTTCTGAATCGTAGTTCACAGGTTAAGAGATAGAGTATGATTGTGCTGTTGTAAGTAAAGTTTTATATATGTGGATCCTACTGGTTTTTGAAAGGATGGAATTAAAGTTGTCCATGTTTTACTTTCTTGATTCCTGGAGACTGTTCAAAAACTGACTGTTTCGTTGTGGTGCACATGTCTGTGTCAATGCAGTAAGGCAATGCGGAAGAAGAAAAGAGAGGAGGCTGAGAAGCTACCTGTGGTGTCTAAAGAAATGTATTATGACATCACTATGGATTTAAAAGAAATATTTCAAACTACAAAGGATAGCCATGAAAAGAAAGACGCACCCTATGTGGACTGTGATGAAGAGAAAGCAAAGGAAGTCCATGTCCCTGCAGCTCCAGTGATGGGGGCCAAGCAGCCCAGCGGGTTCACATTTTCCTTTTTTGATTCAGACACAAAAGATGTAAAAGAAGGTATTTTTCTTTTTTTACTCTTTCATTCTAGGCAGTTTAAACTTAACTGAGTGTACATTAAGTGTAATGATTTAACATTAGCTGAAGAAACTATTTTTTCTTGCACCTAAATAATATGAGGTTCTATATCACATGGCCATAAATGCAATGTTCCTGGAGCTGTGTTTAACACAGTAGAAAATTGTTTCAGCTTTAAGAGAGCAAACTTCTAGCATATGAAGGGAAGCTAAAGAATAATGTGCAGCATACCTTCTGTTGAAGAGGTATACTAAGTCATATATTTAAATAATTTCATATCGTGACCTGGCCGGTTTGGCTCAATGGATGGAGCATCGGCCTGCATACTGAAGGGTCCCAGGTTCACTTCCAGTCAAGGGCAACTGCCCAGATTGTAGGTTCGATCCCCAGTGTGGGGCATGCAGAAGGCAGTGGATCAGTGATTCTGTCTCATCATCAATGTTTTTATCTCTCTCTCCCTCTCCCTCCCTGAAATCAATTAAAAAAATTTTTTTAATATATAAATAGTTTCATATCTTAAATGCGTTTGGAGAAGCCATGACTTATTTACAGAAGCCAGTACCATATGGTAGGAGAAAGGAAGAAATAGGTAACTTTGGCTTTATGTAAATGTGCTATTTCATGGATATCCCAGTTGTTTCAAACTTTATCCTTGAAGATTTGCCAGAATCTAGAGAAAAATACCAGTACCAGTACTGTTATTCCATTTCAGGGGGTTACTGTTGAAGGCCAACATGGTACAAAAGTTAAAAACCCTATTCCTTTCCCCTAACCAGTTTGGCTTAGTGTTTAGCAGGGGTGGGCAAACTTTTTGACTCGAGGGCCACAACGGGTTCTTAAACTGGACCGGAGGGCCGGAACAAAAGCATGGATGGAGTGTTTGTGTGAACTAATATAAATTCAAAGTAAACATCATTACATAAATGGGTACGGTCTTATTTTTTTAGTTTTATTCATTTCAAACGGGCCGTAGTTTGCCCACGGCTGGTTTAGAGTGTCCGGCTTGGAACTAAAGGGTCCCAGGTTCAACTCCAGTTAAGAGCACATGCCTGTGTTGCAGGGTCAGTCCCCAGTAGGAAGTGTGCAGGAGGCAGCCAATCAATGATTCTCTCTCATCATTGATGTTTCAGCCTCTCCCTTACTCTTCCTCCCTAGCTGAAATGTATAAAAAATAGATGTTTAAAAAAAACCCTGTTCCTTCGGGCTGCTCTTTACCTAGTGTTCACATTGGAAGTGCAGCTTTTTTGGAACTTCATTGTGAAAAGTAGAATAGAGGAGAATCCATCCACACCTAACTACAGTGGATTCTATTTTAAAGATCAGCAGTTAAAATAGTATCCCTGTATTTAGCTGTTAAATATTAAATGCCAGCTCTGTGGTATTCCAACAGGAGATACAACAGTCTAGTAGTTTTTCAAATATTGTTCTAAATAAGACACAATATTGTACATGTCCTGCATATCTCATTCTAATTATGAGAGCCAATTGTGAGAAAAAGGTCTTAAAATAAGTACTAAGACACCTCAGCAACCAAGTGCTTTAAGTACTTGGAACGTTTTGGGGTCATGCACTGAATGTTCGCAGCTTATAGCAGTAGCTTTTTCAGCAGTTCTAGAAAGAGGTTTTGGAAATTGAAAGTGTATACATATGTCTCTTTCCTCATTTATGAATAAACAGGAAGGAAATCCGGTTTTACTACAGTGGGTTCTTTTTAAGGCTTCTCATGCGAGCACAGGTGCAACACTTATTTTTGTTTGTTTTTTTAAACTATAATGCCCATTTATAAACTTTTAGTTTTTATATCTTTTTATAATATTGCTATGTTCCTTATCAATTTACCCTAGCAATGCCAAAAAAGTGATAGTACCTTCTCAGTTAGTATTTGAAAATCTCAAAAGATACTATCTATTCTTAATTAATGATTAAGATAGTGTAAATGTGCCGAAACCGGTTTGGCTCAGTGGATAGAGCGTCGGCCTGCGGACTGAAGGGTCCCAGGTTCGATTCCGGTCAGGGGCATGTACCTGGGTTGCGGGCATATCCCCAGTAGGAGATGTGCAGGAGGCAGCTGATCGATGTTTCTCTCTCATCGATGTTTCTAACTCTCTATCTCTCTCTCTTCCTCTCTGTAAAAAATCAATAAAATATATTTAAAAAAAAAAAAAAGATAGTGTAAATGTAGAAATATACTAACATGGTGAAAATAATGAAATGAGTATGTTCAGAAATACTTGGTTACTCATTACAATCCTGTCATCTTTTATGGTCACAATGATACAGAGACCTATAGAGTTGAGACAGTGAAACCTAGTAGGACTGCCTGGCAGGTAGCCCCTCGTTTCCAAGACAGCAGTTCCGAAGAGGACGATGTTACTGAAGAAACAGATGACAGGAAGTCCAGCCCCGGGTAAGCAAATTGTATCTGAACAGGTATATTTCATAATTCATAAAACCTGAGTTTTACATGCTTTAGAAATACTTTAGAAAAATAGAAGCTTATTGTTTCAAGACAAATTAATTTTCTCCTCTCAGCTTATTTAGAGAGCTCTGTAGCCTTTTTGTAATGAGGAGCAGATCTCCTTTTCTTGAAATATGGATAGCACTGGGTGGGGGTTATGCTATGCACATGCAAGGGAGCCTAACACTGAAGTCCCTGGTCTGGAAAGAGGATATGGCAGCTAGCTGCCTTCCAACCCCTGGGAAACATTGGTAAACGGGGTAGCAATGGTAGGGTGAAAGGATCAGCATCCAGCGTGGGGAAGGGAGAGCATGGTGTGCTTACACAAGTCTTCATCACCGAAGCTTCCAGTAGAAGAGAAGAATGTTGACTAGAAAGAGCATTGGGTTACTTTTCCTCAGCAAAATGAGCAAGACACAAAGCAAATAAACTTAAGGAACAGCTAATTTATGTTTTCAGTGTAAATATTTCTCCTTAAATATAGAAATTAACCAACCAATATATGTCTGTCTGTCTCTCTCTCTCTCTCGTTCTCTCTCTCTCTCTCTCTCTTCAGAGAAGTATCATTACCTGCAAAAGAGACCACTAGATTTTTTTTTTTCTCTAATAATGATGAAAGACTTCTTGGTAAGTCATTTTTTTTTTAATCTTCACTGCACATTCTGATACAATAACACATCCAGGTAAGAACTGTTCGGCAAAAATCCTAACCCTTTGCAGTGTCATGTGGCTTAGCCCTCTCTGTTAGACTGATGCATGTTGACATTACAGTTCTAGAGGGCTGAGAGTTTCCTTTCACTACTTCCCTTATTTATTATCATCAACAAGAGCTTTTTTATATTTTTTTTAAAATATATTTTTATTGATTTTTTACAGAGAGGAAGGGAGAGAGAGAGAGAGTCAGAAATATCGATGAGAGAGAAACATCGACCAGCTGCCTCCTGCACACCTCCCACTGGGAATGTGCCCGCAACCAAGGTACATGCCCTTGACCAGAATCGAACCTGGGACCTTTCAGTCCGCAGGCCGATGCTCTATCCACTGAGCCAAACCAGTCTTGGCAACAAGAGCTTCTTTAGTTTCAAGGACTTGGGAAGATCCTAACTAGACACAACACTCCTATGATTTTAGTACCTAAAAGTTCATGTGAAACCTCATTTCTTAAAGTCTAGTACAAATATAAACCATAAAAGTTACATAATAGTAAATGGTATACAAACAATAAAATCCTTGCAATTCTGCATTTTCATTTTGTAAAAAAGGAACAAAATATTTATTTTTATTTTATTTTATTTTTTTTATTTTTATTTTTTTTTCTTCACGTCAGACGGGTCATGTGCCAGAAGCGTAACAAGGTTCATGGGCGGCACATCTCACACAGTAGCGTGAACACCCAATCATCACGGTTAAAATATATATTTTTAAATAGCACAAATTCTTCCAGCTATAGCAGGGAAGTCTGTGCCCAGGAATTTCAGGCACCTCTGGGAGTGCAGTAGCTGCCCTGAAGGGAGACCCGTATCACACCTATTATTTTGATTAAGTTAATGGCATAAGTACTAGCATCTTCTGATAGCCACATCAAAAATACAACTGCACTACAGAATAGGCATTATCCAGAACCACTGGAAATTTAGCTGAACCGTAGTCCTACAACTTAGGATATAAAGAACCCACATCAATAGTAGGTGGGAGGGGTGGAGATGTAGAATTAGCAGGTCCCACACCCACTTGTGGATAAAAATCTGGAGGAATATTGCAGCTGCGGAGGTCCTCCCTTTGGAGTGAGGGGTCACAGCCCCACATCACACCCCTCAACCCAGGGTTCCAGTGCCAGGAAGAGAAGTGCCCATCACTTCAGCCTTTAAGAACCAGTGGGGCCCTGACCAGTTTGGCTCAGTGGATGGAGCATCAGCCTGCGGACTGAAGGGTCCCAGGTTCAATTCTGGCCAAGGGCATGTACCTTGGTTGCGGGCACATCCCCAGTGGGGGGTGTGCAGGAGGCAGCTGATTGATGTTTCACTCTCATCGATGTTTCTAACTCTCTGTCCTTCCTTCCTCTCTGTAAAAAAAATCAATAAAATATATTTTAAAAAAAAGAATTAGAAGAAGAAACAGTGGGGATTGAGGCTGAGGGAGACAGAGGCTGCTGGAGTTCCAGATAGGCCCATACTCAGACTTATTCATCCTTCTCTGAGGCTGCAGCTTAAAAGGCACCAGGGACATATGTGGAGGAACTGAACTGCTGGCATCAGGGCAAGACCTAGAGGGGCACCTTTCTCGCAAACAGAAGTGCTGGCAGATGTCATTGTTCCTGTGATGAGCCCTCCCTCACAGACTGAAAGCTGGCACTATATCTGAGTTTGCATCAAGCTGGCTATCACTGTTTGCCCAGCCTGGTAATTCTCTGAAATTCCACACAACATAACTTATAGGCCCACCCAAGCTATTTCCAGTGGCTTTTACATACCAATGGCCTGTCTTGGCTCAAGTTTCAGAATTGCCTAAAATCCCTCAAACAGCATCTGGCCACCGGGTGCCCTTGACTTCTTGTTAAGTGGCCCCTGTCCTGACACTAGTCACAACCGCCCTTGGTTCACAGCTTGGCCTCACCTGGGCAACTCCAAGCCCAGCACAAGTAGCAGCCATGTGCAGATCGCCTTATAGCTCATGCCACAAATTAGCATGAGCTAATCCCTCACACAGGCAGCAATTGACCTTGGCCTGGAGGCCCCAGGAGGCCCCAGAGCCAGCACACTCAGTGGACAGCTTCAGACCACATGGAAGCACTACTCACCACCTTCCACAAGTAATACATTCAAGGTGTGGATGTAGCGGGCACCAGATCCCTGCTGAAGTTAAATCCTGCTCCATGGTTTGGGCCCCTGCACAACCTATCCCCTCTGTTGGTTACAGCCGCACATTGCAGCTGATTGGCCTGGCAATAAATCCCTCCCATTAACATGCCAAGAGCATTGGAGGGTCAACTACAACAGAAGAGAGTGCACAGCCCACATGAGGAGCACACCTGGAATGCCCAGCTCAGGTGAATGGGGAGGCAGTGTCACTGGAACTATCAGATGTAAAGTTCAAAACGCTAGTTATGAGAATGCTCCTAGAACTTAGTGGAAGAGTAGATGAACTTAGAACTTCAACAGCATAAAACAGAAAATACCAACCAGAAATGAAGGATACATTAACTAAAATAACAATAATAACAGTAAAGTATATGAAGCTGAGAATCAAAACAGCAATTTGTACTGTCAGGAAACAAAAAATATCCAATCAGAACAGCAAAAATAAAAGCTTAGCTAGAGGGAGGAGTTGGGGGAGGGTTTCCTGAGGAGGTGGTGGCCATGGCAGCTGTGTGGTAGCAAGGGTGCCGGTTTTGAATGAGCAAGGCTGAGTTTGAACCAACAGAGCACGAGCTCGACCAGCAGTGCGGTGTGTGTGTGCGTGCGTGTGTGTGTGTGTGTGTGTGTGTGTGTGTGTGTGTGTGTGTGGTGGGGGCGGAGGGGCTATCACACAGTTGCAGTTATTTAAAGTTTGTACCTGCTCACTGACATTATTCCCATTCTTAAAGAGATTAATATGCAGATCTGACAGAGGATGGAAATTAAGTAGAGACCAAATAACTTTGCCAACTACAATTATTATTCATCAGTTCCAAAACAGGTGTTGAAGAGTGAACTTCGTGGGACTTTAGAAGATGCTTCCACAAGTATAAAGATTGAAAGAGGGAATGGGAATGGGAATGTGGCAACACAACAAAATGCTTTGGAACAACTGGAACCTGACTATTTTAAGGACATGACAACAACTATAATGAAAACTCAGAAAATCATTATTAAGAAGAGAGAACCATTAAATTTTGGCACACCAGATGATAGCACAGGTTTCTCTAGTAGATTAGCAGCTACACAAGATATGCCATTTATTCATCAATCACCTGAACTAGGTGACTTGGATACCTGGCAGGAAGATACCAATGCATGGGAAGAGGAAGATGCAGCCTGGCAAGCAGAAGAAGTTCTGAGGCAGCGGAAGATAGCAGACAGAGAAAAGAGAGCAGCGGAACAGCAGAGAAAGAAAATGGAAAAGGAGGCACAGCGGCTAATGAAAAAGGTGCAAAACAAAATTGGTGTGAAACTTTCATAACAAATGTTCTTCAAATGTCATAGTGCCAGTGGGAGAAATATGAAATCCACAACCCAAGCAACATTTGTATGGATCAAAGAGTATTTCCCAAAAACAGACACACTGTTTGATTTAACGCATTCATCAGGCCATTCAGTACACTAGGATTCTGTCACAGTATCTTGAACTTGTATTGCCTGAGACTCAAAAGAACAAAAAAGACTTACAAGACATTATTTTCTTCAACATGTTCCATTATAAGACAGTTGTTTACTGTAAGCAAATTATTACAAATGGAATATACCAGTATCTCTTTAAGCTGGTGTTTCTAGCTGAATAAATGGTTGTAAATAATTTTGTGGTGGGAAGAACTCTGTTGTCTATAATATTCTTCATTGTGCATAATTAAATAATTTAAAGAAAAAAACATTTAAAACATGAGGATAGTATAAGGAGCCTCTAAGACCATTTCAAGTCTACCAACATTTGCATCATGGAGGTGCCAGAAGGAGAGAATGAAATTGCAAACCTATTGGAAAAAATAATGACAGAAAACTTGTCTCACTGGAGAAGGAAATAAAAGTCCAAGAAGTGCAGAGAGTCCCAAACAAGATGAACCTAAAGAGGCCCACACCAGGACACATAATTAAAATGCAAAAGGTCAGAGAGAAAGAGATAATCTTAAAAGCAGCAAGAGAGCCCTAACCAGTTTGGCTCAGTGGATAGAGCATTGGCCTGCAGACTGAAAGGTCCCAGGTTCGATTCCAGTCAAGGGCATGTACCTTGATTGTAGCCACATCCCCAGTAGAAGGTGTGCAGGAGGCAGTTGATTGATGTTTCTAACTCTCTATCCCTCTCCCTTCCTCTTTGTAAAAAAAGCAAGAGAAAAACACTTACCTACAAGCATAAGACTATCAGCGGAATTCTCCACAGAAACTTTGCAAACCAGAAAAGATCAGCAACAAAACCTAGGCCAAATGGACAACTTCCTAGAAGCATACAATCTATCAAAACTCAACCAGGAAGAATCAGAAAACCTGAATAGATAAATGACAACTAATGAAATTGAAGCATTACCAAAAACACTCCCAGCAAACCCAAGTCCGGGAACAGATTGCTCCACAGGGGAATTTACTAAACATTCAAAGAAGAACTAACACCTGTCCTCCAAAGACTATTCCAAAAATCCAAGGCGAAGGAACACTTCCAACCTCTTTTTATGAGACCAGTATACCCTAATTTCAAAACCAGAGAAAGACACTACAAAGAAAGAGAATTACAGGCCAATATCTCTGATGAACATAAATGCTAAAATCCTCAACAAAATATTAGCAAATCAGATACGACAATAACCATACATCATGACCCAATGTGATTCATTCCAGGGATGCAAGGTTGGTACAATATTCAAGGCTGGGACATAAAGAAATACATCACATAAAGAAATTTGGAAATAAAAGCCACATGGTAATATCCATAGATGCAGGAAAAGGATTTGACAAAATCCAACACCTATTTTTGATAAAAATTCAGCAAAGTGGGAAGAGAGGGAGGTTATCACAATATAATAAAGGCCATGTATACGAGACCTACAGCCAACAACATACTCAATGGACAAAAACTAAACCATTTCCCTTAAGGTCAGGAACGACACAGGGATTTTTGCTTTCACCACTCTTATTCAACATTGTACTAGAAGTCCTAGACACAGTGATCAGACAAGAAAAAGCATCTAAATTGGAAAGGAGGAAGGAAAACTCATTCACAGATGATGATAATTGTACCAGGTATACCAGTTAATAATGTGGATTTTGGAATCAAAGAAAACAGGATAATTTCAAGAGAAACATCAAAAGTGCTTTATTTAAAGTAATTTCCATCGCTAGCTACACATTTCCCCCATCTTTCAGGTAATTTGTGGCAAACCATTCAGAGACCCAGTTTTCCACTTCTTTGTACATTTTGAAGTGCTGCTCAGAAAGTGCATGTGCCATCGATCAGAACAAGTGGTAAACTGAAGGAGCAAGGTCTGGTGAATACGGTGGGTGGGTTAATTCTTCCCAGGCAAGATTTCTTAACGTGTCTTTAACTGGTTTTGAAGTATGTGATGGTGCGTCATCATGAAGCAAAATTGCAGTGTCTTCTGGAACATTCTGGTCGTTTCATGATCAAAGCGTGGTTCAAATTGATTATTTGTTGTTCGTAGTGATCAGTATTGACGTTTTCACCTGCTTTTAGAAGCTCATAATACACCACACCTTCCTGATCCCACCAAACGCAGAGCATTGTCTTTCTGAAGCGATTTGGCCTCACATGATGTTGATGGTTGACCTGGATCAACCTATGATTTTTGTGCATTTGGGATTCTCAAAATAAATCCACTTTTCATTGCCAGTCACAATTCGATGAAAAAAAAGACTTTCTTTCGTGCTGTTGAAGCAACATTTTACTGATGACTTTTTGGTTTTCTGACCTGGATATCCTTTGTCTTTCACATTGACATCATCACTTTTAAAGCGTTTAAACCAGTGTTCACAGGTATCTTGAGATGGAGCATGTTCACCATAAGCTTCCCGAAGTATTCAGCACTTTCTTCAAAATAATGAATTAAAACTTCCCGCAAATGCTCTTTTTTGGGGCACAAAATTCAACATTTTTTTTAAAATATATTTTTATTGATTTTTTTACAGAGAGGAAGGGAGAGGGATAGAGAGTTAGAAATATCGATGAGAGAGAAACATCGATCAGCTGCCTCCTGCACACCCCCTACTGGGGATGTACCCGCAACCAAGGTACATGTCCTTGACCGGAATCGAACCTGGGACCCTTCAGTCCGCAGGCCAATGCTCTATCCACTAAGCCAAACCGGTTAGAGCACAAAATTCAACATTTTTAAGGGTAAAATATCTATGATGATACCTTCAGAAAATTTGACATGAAGTTTTGAACCTTGCTGTCAATACAACAAAATAGCATACATATCAAATCGCATATATATGAACATATATTTAACTCCATCTATTGAAAAAAATCCGCATTGTTAACCAATACACCTGGTACATAGAAAACACACGACCACCATAAAACAATGAGCTTTTACAAATGTTTGACAAAGTGGCAGGGTACAAAATAAACATCTGAAAATCTATGTCAGTCAGCTTAACAATAACCCACAACTGTGGGACCAACTTGAAAATGTCATTTTTAAAATTTGCTTTTATTTTGTTGGTTTTAGAGAAAGAGGAAGGGAGAGGGATAAAGAGATAGAAACAATGATCAGACAGGATTATTAATCTGCAGCTTCCTACATACCCTCCTCCCCCCACCCCCGACCCTGTGGCACAACCCAGACATGTGCCCTGACTAGGAATCGCACCACAACTTCTAGTTCATAGGTCCACGCTCAACCACTAGCCACAATGGCTGGGGTCTATGGCATTTTTATACACCAATAATGAACTAACAAAAAAGATAAACTAAAAAAAAAAATCCCATTTTTTATTGCAACAACAAAATTAAGATACCTAGTAATAAACTCAAACAAGAAGGCAAAAGACCTATACTTGGAAAACTATAGGACATGAAAGAAAGAAATAGAGGAAGATACAAATGAGTTGAAACATATACTGTGTTCATGAATTAGAAGAATGAACATCATTAAAATGTTCATACTACCCAAAGGAATCTAGATTCAATGCAATTCCTATTGAAATACCATTGGCATATATCACAGATATGGAACAAGTATTCCAAATATTTATATGGAAACAAAGACAACCCAGAATAGCCACTGCAATCTTGAGAAAGTAAAACAGTTGAAAGGATCACAATAGCAGATATCAAACTATACTACAGAGTCATTGTGATCAAAACAGCTGGTAATGTCACAAGATCAAAGCCTCCTATTGGGGATTGATCCCACAACCCTGGTATGTGCCCTTGGCTGGAATCAAACCCAGGATCATTCCGTCCACAGGCCAACATGGCTAGGGCTAAACCCATGTCTTTTTGGTCTAGTTATATTGGACAAAGGAGGCAAGAGCATACAATGGAGTAAAGATCATCTGTTTAATAAATGATTTTTGAAAATTGGACAGGTACATGCAACAACAAAAAACTGCAGCACCAACTTACACCAGACACAAGAATATAAACTCATAATGGGTGAAACACTTAAATGTAAGACACGCAACCATAAAAATCTTAGAAGTAAACATAGGCAGTAAAATCTCAGACATCTCACGTACCAGAATTTTCACTGATATATCCCCTACGGCAAGAGAAACAAAGGAAAAAATAAGTGGACTATATCAAAACATAAAAGTTTCTGCATGGCAAAAGAAACCATCCTCAAAATGCAAAGGGAACCAAATATATGGGAGAACATATTTGTCAATGATACAGCTGGTAGTAGATTAATTTCCAAAATATATAAAGAACTTATACAACTCAACAAAAGGAAGGTGAAACGGTTAAAAAATGGGTAAAGAACCTGAATATACACTGTCCAAAGTGGACATATGAATGGCCAAGAAATGTGAAAAAATGCTCAACATCGCTAGTAAACAGATGCAAATGACAATGAGGTGTCACCCACACTTGCTACAGGTTGCAAAAAGTAACAAGTACTGGGGAGGATGTGGGGAAAAGGGAAACAGTCCATTGCTGGTGGGAATTCAGACTGGGACAGCCACAGTGGAAAACAATATGAAATTTCCTTTAAAAAAAAAATGGGCCCTGGCCGGTTTGGCTCAGTGGATAGAGCGTCAGACTGAAGGGTCCCGGGTTCGATTCCGGTCAAGGGCATGTACAATGGTTGTGGGCACATCCCCAGTAGGGAGTGTGCAGGAGGCAGCTGATCGATGTTTCTTTCTCATCGATGTTTCTAACTCTCTATCCCTCTCCCTTCCTCTCTGTGAAAAATCAATAAAATATATATTTTTTAAAACTATCATTTAGACTCAAAGGACAGATAAAGAGCTTCCCAAACAAGACCTCTATTACATGAAATATTAAAGGGCTTCTTTAAGAAGAAAAAATTTAAAAATCAAAAATATGAACAATAAAATGTAATAAATACGTACCAACAATTAATTGAATCTAAAAAACAATAAATGAACAAGCAGAACAGTAACAGACTTATAAGTGCTTACAGCTCTTTCACTTTGTCCAGCAGGTCTTCTGGGTTTACCGGAGACCAACAAAAAGAAGAGAAAAGAAACAGACTCACAGATGCAGAAAACATTTTGATAGGTGCTAGATGGGATGGATGTTGGGGCGATGGGTGAAATATGTGTTAAAAAATAGTCACTGGGATGTAATGTATTTGACACTAATAACTTTGGTGTCAAATGGGTATTAGTTTTATCAGGATGTTCACTTAAGAAGTTATAGGTCTAATCGCCGGGTATACACTTGAAACTAATATAATGTATTTGATGTGTAATTGAAAAATTAAAAATGATTTTAAAATAATAACAAAACTTCAAAATTAGCATAAATTGATGGTTTTGTCTGTAGGTCTTAACTGGAATTAAAATCCTTGATAATGCCAGCACTAGAATAGTATCCTTTTTCATAGTGATTTGTTTTCTTATCTTTTTTTATCTTCCTGGAGTAGGTTCTGACTTATTCTGGAGAGGAATGGGAGGTAATATTAGTAGGAATTCTTGGGAGGCCAGAACAAACAACCTGCGTATGGTGAGTATTTGTATGTTCGTATTGTCTCCATAAATAGATACTTTGTTATCTTTGTATTAATATACTAGAGGCCCTCAACCCAGCCTGCACACTTTCCAGTCTGGGATCCCTCTCACAATCCGGGACTGCTGGATTCCAACCGCTTGACTGCCTGCCTGCCTGATTGCCCCTAACCTCTTCTGCCTGACAGCCTGATCGCTCCTAAACACTCCCCTGCCACTGTGATCAATGCCTAACTGCTCCCCTGCTGGCCTGATCACCCCAACTGCCCTCCCCTGCCAGCCCAATTGCCACCAACTGCCCTCCCCTGCAGCCCTGGTCCCCCCAACTTCCCTCCCTTTCAGGCCTGGTCCCCCCCAACTGTCCTCCCCTGCAGACCTGGTTGCCCCTAACTGCCCTCCCCTGCTGACTTTGTTGCCCCTAACTGCCCTCCCCTGCAGTCCATTTGTGTCCACATGGGGTGCGGCCATCTTGTGTGTTGGAGTGATGGTCAATTTGCATAGTACCTCTTTATTACATAGGATGCCTTTTGTAAGAATATTGGCATAAAGTATGAAACTTACGACACCCCCTAACCACTTTTGGGTGAAAGAATGACAACTGAGAACATGATTTAAACACTTAGAATTACAATGTTGGAAGGGAACTTTGAGGTTGTTTGATGCTACACACATGGTACAAGTGAAGAGACAAGACGGTCCTAATTCAGTCACTGGTCCAAGTTCCAGGCATGTGTCATTAAGTAACAGGGAATCACAAAGGCTTGTATGTTTTTATGTTTTTCTAGGATTGTCGGAAGAAACATAAGGATGCCAAAAGGAGAGTGAAACCAAAATAAAGTGTCATTATGGGTTTTGATACTGATTGTGAACAAGATTCACCTGTGGAAATTGAGTCACCTAGAAAATAATTTTAGCTAACAAGAACTTGGAGTTGAGGAATATTCAAAATCCAGCTAATGGATACCATCTGGTTGTTGCTGCTATGTTTTTCTGTGGATTTCCCCTATTTCTACCTAAGTACTTCAAAAAAATTAAACTGAACTTTTTTTTTTTTTTAATGAAGCACAAGATAGTCCCTCAAATAAAAGAAAACTTTTTGTATGTAATCTCACTGCTCTCCATCCTCAATGACAAATGGGCATCTTTTGATACAAGCTTTACATAAAGCCTTTTATAATATGTGGGTCAGCCTGGCTGGTGTCACTCAGTGGTTGAGCGTCAACCTATGAACCAGGAGGTCACGGTTTAATTCCCAGTCAGTGCACATGCCTGGGTTGCAGGCTCTATCCCCAGTGTGGGGCATGCAGGAGGCGGCCGATCGATTATTCTCTCTCATCATTGATGCTTCTGTCTCTCCCTCTCCCTTCCTCTCTGAAATCAATAAAAATATTTTTTTAAATGAGTCAGGGCACTTGTGTTTTTCAAGTTAGGTTTTGTGTGAATTTTGGCTACTTGATTATTTATTTCTGATTGTACCAAGTACACTTTACCTCCGTTCTATGTTTTTTGTTTTAAGAGATTGAACACAAGTCAAACTTGAGTTTTGTACTTGCTTTCTGGTGAGTAGTGAACTGAAATGCAGGAACTTCCAGACCAATGTTCTAGGAGAGTTCTGGGAAGACCAGAAAAGGACAGCAAATAGAGTTTTCCTATCCTTCGCCTCCAGGAATTGATAGAGGCAAGCCCATCAATCCCACAATTCTAGTTAGAGCAGAGGCTTATGAAAAATCCAAGTGTTTGAAAGGTATGAAATCAGGAGTCAGGACCTTAAATCCCTATAGGGAGGCAGATTTAATACCTTATTAAATCAACTGGGCTAGAATGAAGACAATCCTATCAAACTTGGCTGTGTACAACAGTGTGTTTGACTTGGCCTGTGTGGCTCAGTTGATTGAACGTGGTCTCCTGCACCAAAAGTTCTCCATTTGATTCCCTATCAGGGCACATCCAGGTTGCAGGTTCGATCCTCAGTCAGGATCTATGCAGGAGGCAAACAATTGATGTCTCCCTCACACCACTGTTTCTCCTTCTCTCTTCCTCTCTCTCTAAAAATCAATTAAAAATAAAACATTAAAAAATTGTGTTGTATAAATCCCAAGGGATTATCATTGAAACTGTGTATTTCTGTGCCCTAACCGATTTGGCTCAGTGGATAGAGCGTCGGCCTGTGGACTGAAAGGTCCCAGGTTCGATTCCGGTCAAGGGCATGTACCTTGGTTGCGGGCACATCCCCAGCAGGGGGTGTGCAGGAGGCAGCTGATAGATGTTTCTCTCTCATCATCGATGTTTCTGACTCTCTCTCTCCCTTTCTCTCTGTAAAAAAATCAATAAAATATATTTTTTTAAAAAAGAAACTTATTTCTGAAATGAAGCATTTATTGATTTACATCTTGATTGAATATAACTGAATGAGGGCTGGAATGTTGTCTTTGTTATGTCCCCACTGCCTGGAATCATGTCTAGCACATAGTGGGTGCTCAGCACATAATTTTTTAATAAACAGGGTCCAAGAAACTAAGTAGCCTAAGAGTCAATCCTGTGTTTCCAATACTTCAAACTTCACGGAGAATGGAAACAACCTCTCAGCAAAATAAATAATCCAAATGTTCCACCTTGTGTTGATGTCTATTTCATTTACACATTCTTATCTACTGCTGCATAACAAGTTAGCTCCTTAACAATTATTTATTATTCTTACAAAAACAAATTTGGTTAGACTCCTTGGGGACTATTCATCGCTTCTCCTTGTAGTGTCTTTGGCATGGCTCTGCTGCAACCAGTGAGTCCATTTCTAGGATGGCCCACTCAGTGCCTATCATGAGTTTTTTCCCAGCATGGCAGCTAGGTTTGGGGATCAGGAAACAAATGCCACCAGTCTCTTAAGGCCTAGCTCAGAAATGGCTCAGTCATTTCCACTAGAGTCTAGGTAGGAACAGAACACTGAACCCACGTGGGCTCAATGGCTGTGGACACACACCCTCACCTCTCAGTGGGACGAGTTTTTGTTTGTGACCATGTTTAAGTCTCCAAAGCAAAAGTGATACCAAGTAACTTTGCCCACCCCCAATTCCTGAACCCCAGATACAACCACCTTAAACAGTTTAATGTTTCCTTTGAATTTATCTCCATATTTCTACCTAATATGCTTATGCTGTGGTTTCTTGGTTTTTCCATTTTAGAGATTACCTATTGACATCCTACTCTGACAAATGAAGATTTACCCCTGGCCGGTGTGGCTCAGTTGGTTGAGCATTGTCCTGTGCACCAAAAGTTTCAGTTTCAAGTCCTAGTCAGGGCACATGCCCAGGTGGTGGGCTCAATCCCCAGTAGGGAGAGTGAAGGAGGCAGCCTCTTGATGTTTCTTCCTCTCTCTAAAATCAATTTTTTTAAAATAAGAAAAAAACAGTTTAATAAGGATTTAACTGTAATCCAAGTAGAATATTTTGACCACATTTAACCTTGTCCTAGAATCTTTTTTTCACTTGCTCAACTTTTTCTATATTTAGTCCTCTCATGTTTCCCAACGATACCATAAAGTGTGTCTCAGTACAATTTTTAAGTAATCAGACTCATCCTCCTCCCCCTTTTTCCCTGGTCTCATCAGTCTAAGAGCCGTCTGCCCTGTTCTAAGCTGGACTGTGTAGACGGATGATAAAAATGAACTGGGCAAGGTAGCAACTTAAGGAATGCAAAGACTTAAAATACACTCCAAATACTTCTGGTTAATAAGCTGAAGACACACAACTACTAAATGTGTGTGTTTTCAAGCAAGTTAAGTTATTGAGTCGCAATTTACCCCTTGAGTAAGGACATGAATCCTGCCTTACTCTAATCCCTGATACTTTGTAGAGTTTTCTTAAACCCTAATTGACTGTTGAATGAATGTTACACAGATTATCAAAATGTTCTTAGCCCTGACCGGTTTGGCAGAGTGGATAGAGCGTCAGCCTGCAGACTCAAGGGTCCCATGTTCGATTCGTGTCAAGGGCATGTACCTTGGTTGCGGGCACATACCCAGTAGGGGGTGTGCAGGAGGCAGCTGATCGATGTTTCTCTCTCATCGATGTTTCTGGCTCTCTATCCCTCTCCCTTCCTCACTTTAAAACATCAATAAAATATATATTTTTAAAAATGTTCTTAAACTTAATGTTGTGCTTTCTACATATTCTTGGCCAGATCAATTAGTTGTTTTTTTGTCACTGTTAATGGGTACAGTAAGCAGTTACATGCAAAATTATTCTCAATTTGTCAAGGCCTAGAATTTCCTCTATAGTCTCTGGTGCCAAAGCCTGAGGTCTACTAACCTTTGCATGGCTCCAGATTCTCTCCTATTTTTTTTTTAATGTATATGTTTTATTGATTTTAGAGAAGGGGAGAGAGAAAAATCAAAGATGAGAATCATTGATTGGCTGCCTCCTGCACGCCCTCTATTGGGGGATGAGCCTGAAATCCAAACCAGCAGATCTAAAGGTGCCAGGGAGACATGCAGCACAAACAGTAAGTAAGTGAGCAGATAAATAAGCAAATAATTTTTTTTTTCAGAACGGGAAAAGTTTTTAAGGCTGGTTAGCAGACATTTTTTTTTTATCTCTCCATATGGCCATTTACCATAATTTATGCAGTAAAATCCAGAACTCTGTGTTAGGATCGCTAAAGGAGGAACGCCCAAGGCCAAAGGGGTAAAGAATATTAGGTCATCTGGAAACCAAATGGCTGAGCCCCAAAATGGCGCCAGCACCCAGGAACAGGGCGTGGGAGGTTTTAAAGGACTCTAGGTGGCTTTTTCTGAGAAGAGAATTCTCTATCCGAGTCCTAAGGAGAAAGATAATGGTCTTAGCAAGTGGATTGTGGTCTTAGCAAGTGCTGAGCAAAAGGGAATGTTGGTTGTGAAGTGGTGTAAAGTTCAGTTGCCAGGGTAGGGGTATCCATTCAATTATTTGATCAAACCTAACATTCCAGCTTTTTTGTTTTATGGAATAGGGATGAAAGTCATATCTTTTCATAATTACTTCCTGCTGAGTGGGGATGTCAAGATCACAGGGGAATGGACTTGTTTAAAATATAGTTTTGTTGATTTCAGAGAGGAAGGGAGAAAGAGATAGAAACCTCAATGGTGAGAGAGAATCACTGATTGGCTGCCTCCTGCAAGCGGCATGTGCCCTTCACTGGAATCTAACCTCAGACCCTTCAGTCCACAGGCCGACACTCTATCCACCAGGCCAAACTGGCTGGGGCAGGGGTTTGGACTTTGATGGTAGTCCACCGGATGAGGGGGTGCAGCAGCATAATTTCCCCAAGAGACGGGCTGGTGATGGCTGGGGGTGTCCTGTTGAGGGACTGGGAGGCAGAAGCTGGTCCTGAGGCTGCCACAGCGTCACTTGTCTGGTTTTGCTGCTTTTCTGGGCCTGGAGCTGAAATACAACTGAGACCTAGATGTTGTCTTTAGGGAGGAAAAGATCGGGGGTCTAAGCTGCCTAACCTGGTAGAGACAAACCGTTTTATAAATTTTAGTATTATTGAGGCAAAAGCTAGAAGAACAAGAATTATGGTCTGGTGGAAGGAAAGAAACATTAGTTTGGATGGGTGTAGCCTACTATACCAAAATGAGGTTGTTTCTCTTAGTTTCATTTATCCTTGGTTTAGGAAGATAGCCTTTACTAGATGGCTGTGGACTGCTTGGCATCTGGATTTTCCAGACGGTTGCAACTGCTTTTTGCTATCTCAGTTTCCCTATTCTGCTTGTCCTGGCTCACTGGCCTGTGTCATTTATATAACTTCCTTTTAACATTTCTCTCTACAAACCTTCTATAACTCTCACAGACATTCTCTGAGGCCTTCTTTTGGGCCTCAGCCTTGGCCTGATCTTGCCTTTGTTTTTGGATTTGGGTCTCCTCGTCTCTATTATTAAAGACATTTAAGGGCGGGATAACAGGGTCTTTTTGAGGGGTTTGTGAACCCGTGTCTATGTTTGAAATTTGCGGCATATGTTGGGGGCTTATTGGGATATAAAATGAGTGTTCACAAGAAGGATTCCCTCTGGGGAAGTGGGGTCCTTTTTGAGTCTGGCAATGAGGCAGGTAATTATATGGCTGTGGAGGCAGTGCCCTGGAGAATTAACATGATAGGCCAATCTCGGGGGTCAGTTTGGGGGACTGGACCATGTCAGCATCCTCTCTATGAAGGGCATCGGCATGGCCATGGGCTGCTAGCCAGACATGCTCCTTCTCTTCTGGGGTGAGAGAGGAGGACAGGAAGACACAGATGTCATGCCAGATCAGGTCATGTACTGAGTCAGGTACTCATATTCCTTAGTAAAGGTAGTGGGGTAGGTGGAAAAATACCTGAGATGCCTCTCAATCTGTGTGAGGTTGGACATGGAAAATGAGATGTGTACCTAGCCAAACTCTCGGCCCTGGCCACTTCTCAGAAGGGCAGGATGGGGGGCTGGAGGCTGGGTTATCTGGGAACAAGTAAGAGTGAGGCTTGGTAAGGAGGAGAAGGGTAATTGCAGAGTGTAAAGAAGGCCTGGGTATAGGGGATCTCTGACAACTTCCCATTGCAGTGACAGAAATTAAGTCCTGGAGAAGGTTAAAAATCTTGGGCCAGTGTGAATCATTGTCTAATTTATCTTGTGGATACGTGCCGGGAGCCGGTCCATCCTTGCTGTTTCAAGGGACCTGGCATATATGGCATACTGTTCTTAATATGTTTGCTCACCTTCTTGGCACTATGTGTTTTAACCAAGGTCACCTCTCCGAGAAAGGTTGTTTCCCCAGGTAGGGATTTTCCCCTGAAGTTAGGGAGGGAATAAAACCCCTTAACTAAGTGCCAGGCGGGTAATTAACCACTTTAACTGCGAACAATCATGCTTAAGCTACATAATCTTTACTCTCTGGAATGGAGATAAGAAACGCCCTAACCTTTGGAATAGAGATTGATAGGATTGGAATCAACTGGTATAAATACAGATGTAACAAGACAACAGGACACAGAACCTAGACACAGAACCTACACAGAACCTAGAGACAGAAGAACTTTGCTGGAGAGAACATGGCAAAAGATCCTGGACAGAAACTGGCCACAGAACCTAGAGACAGAACCTAGCGAGAGAACCTGGCTGAAGAACCTAGAGACAGAACCTGGCTACAGAACCTGGATAGAACATGGCAAGAGAACCTGACTAGAACCTGGTGACTGAACCTGGCTGGAGAACCTGGACAGAACTTGGTTGG